TGAAATGAAGTGAATTGCAAGAGGGAGAAACGGGGTGGAAATTATTAATGAAATTGCTTTCCAGCTGTTCTCCCATTTTCTCTCAGCGAACCGCAATACCAGATTGTCAGCACAGTTCTAGGGTCTCTCCCACAATTCCACTTCAGGGCTATGGAAGAGAGGTTCCAATTTGCATTTACTTCTTAAGACTTACAAATGTGCCTTTTCCCAATAAACAGAGAATCAGTGATGCACTTCATTGTTTCTTTCAGGTTTCTCAACAGGAAGATTGGCCTCTTTACACTGGAAGACCTCTGTCTGTGGTGTTTGTATTTCCACTTGTTTTTGACAAGCTGAGTGAATTATATCAGTAAGTAACAGGATTTTGATAAAAATAACATTGTATGTAGTTGGGAGTTACTGAATTAAGTGAATTTAGAGTTCAGTTTGAACAAACCCGTGACTAACAGTAGTCAAGGATTAACAGATTATTAACTCAACGTTCCTAACATTTATATGCTAACATATTAAAATGTTTCACACGTGAACTGGGTACTGTTCTGCTCATAAATGCATGTTTGCCTGTGTCATATTTTTGCAGTAGAACAGAGAGTAGCTTTATGTTGAGCCACGCTTCTGACTGGGAGAACTAAACTCTGTTAACATGGTCTAACTCAAACCTCCCAGCTCCCACTGGGAACACACTGTATGCGAGGCCATCCTAACACCTTCTCAGTATCAGCTAAGATAATGTGGTCAAATAATGTCATCCTCTGTTTAAAAATACCATTCAGATAGTATTTTGGTTCTGATCCTGCAGAGACTGAACAGCTTGGTTAATTGTGACCGTTGCACGTGACCAGAGAAGTCAGTTTTAATCCTGCCTATTTGGCATGAAAGAAAGAGTGTAACCACACATGTAAATGCTTAATTTCCAAATGGTCTGATCTAATGAAGTCAGATTGGCATCTTTAAAGATTCATTAAAAAGAGGAGCCCAGCTCAGTTATCTGAGTGCTCAGTCAGAATAATTGCTCTGAAATCAGGATTGGGGGCTTTTGTTTGTCATTACACTGTAGCAGGTGTGAGAGATTGGGTTTGGGTCCTACCATGATTTGGGACATTTTGTCTCTGCTTCTGCTGTTCATGCAGCACTAAATCTTTTGGGCAGTGCTCCTCAGAAGATGAGAGGGAAAGGAACAGTGCAGACCAAGAAGGTAAAGTATTTTAATGTCCTATATGGCATGTTCCTCCTCTGTCTTTATTACCTGGTTATGATAACAACAGAATTGTTGGGCTCTTCAGACAATAATCTGTTTAAAACTCTTGGAAAATGCCTGTTTTTATCAGCATTAATTGCTTCCAATGGGACTAAGCATTAGTAAAGGTAAGTCTTCATATCACCAGGGAATAATTAGAACAAAATGCAAAGGAAAGAGAAGTAGAATGAAAATTGTTCTTATTATTCTTATAGTAGCTAAGGAGGAAATATTTTTTTTTCCATTTTTCTGTTAGTAATCATGTTTACAAATGTAGGTGGACTGTACTGTGTCCAAGCTCTGAGAAAGAATAAAGAAAAACACCGCTGTAAGGAACCAGAAAAATAGAATAGCTTTTATGAGAGACCTCAGCAGTTATTCTTTTACTGGAATCATTAAATCTTCCTGTAACTAAGTGAAAAGCTTGTAGTGTTCATATACCCATCTCTGTAGGAATTCCTTCAATATTTTGTTCAGTGTGCAGAGGTATAGCTAAAGTTGGCCAATGCTAAGAGACCATCCTTGGTTTATTTTTCCTTGGGGACTTCTACACCACACAGGCTTTTTCTTTGACCTTTACATTTTCTTCTGAGGACAAGGGGTTGGAGTGTGCAGGATAACCAGAAATACCCACCCTGGCTCTGGAGAAAACCTACCCTGCTTTTGAGCACCAGAAGTCCTAAACATCTGGGGATCATTTGAAACTGTAGCTGCTCACTCGCCATGGAAGACATGAAAGAAGCAGTTAATGTTTCTTTTCTGGGTAAGGAATTGATCTTTATCAGCACTTTCCCTAAACTGTATTAATAACAATCACCAGGGACAGGAGAAGTACTGCATACTTTAAAGGCAGCAGGAGCTGCCCTGGGTCACGGAAGTAAAGGAGGAATTTGAATCTGAGTTTTACTTGTTTTCTATCCAGAAGCATGAACCTCTTTTGTTGGAAACACTTTTTGTGTGATGTTTGACTGCAGCTTCTAAGGATATGTAAAAATAAATCAAGTTAACAACAACAAGGAGAAAGAAAAAAATCCCTCCTGGGAGGCCTCAAAAAAATTCTTTCTCTAGCAAAAAGGACTGTAAATGTTTTTTTGAGTTTTTTTCCATCAAATGAAAATTTAGATTCATGCTGTTAAATTCTTACTGAGAAAAGTGTGAGGTGCTGCTTTTGCTGATGTAGTGGAATAATGCAAGTACCAGTTTAAAATTTTAAAAGTTTTTCTAATGTGTGGAGTGAATTTGCCATCTCAACAACATTGCCCCACAGGTCTTTATGTGCCTTGGGGATGTTGGCTTAGAAGAACTTTACTTTTCTTAACTTTGGGAATGCAGCAGTGTGCAGATATAAAAAGCAATGCAAGATACTCATGATGTAGGAGATTTTTTAACTTTTCTTGACTATTTTTATAGGAACTTTTCCTGCACCACTCTGGCAAGGCAGATTTCCAAGTCTTTGATTTGTTGAGTCTTGCTGCTGTCAGATATTAATGGATGTTACTTGTTGAGTTCCCCGTGATGCTTTGAAAGGGTGCACTTGTGTGGATAATAAAGGAGCTAGTTCTCTTGTTCACAGATTTTTTTTTTGAGGAGTAGAACTACAAAAGCATTGCTCCCCTTATGACAGAAGCAGGGCCCCCAGATCATACTTCATTCCTTCCAAACCCCTTGCTGCACCTGGAAAGAATGCCAGCATCCCAGCTGATAAAAACTGGGGTTTGGTGAAGTCAGAGAGGAACAACCACATATAAACCCAACAGCACAAATTAAGGAGAGGTTCTTATCTGCCACAGACTAATTGGCTGGGGCCTACTGTTTCACATATCAGATCTCTCCCTGCTGTTCAGAGAATGTTGAGTGTGCCAGAAATAGTTTGTCCTTATGTGTGTGTATATCTGTTCACAGATCACAGGCTGACCTGCTTCCTCTCCAGCCCTTCCTTTGGAAGCATCACCACTGATTTAGAAGGGGTGTGTATCCATCCACACTCCAGTAAACACTCTTTGTAGAGTTAGACACCACATTTATTCCTCTTTATTGGGTCACATGTGGGCAAGGGTTCTGTTAAGTGCTCTGTTATTATGGAAGTCAGTTTAATGACTGCATGCTATAAAAGTTAAAGCAATTATATGTAATGCATGGTGATCAATATGACTTCCAAATGTTCACATGCCATGCATGTCAGATTCCAGTTGGAAAACAAAACAAACCCCTCAAGGTTGCAGGCTGTGCTTTAGAAGAGCCACATGTTGTAACCTCAGAACCTCAAAATATCAACTGGTTTCTGTGCACGATCAGAGCAGTGGAATCTGTGCCACATTCTGCCCTTTATTTCCTGGAATCTGGCTGCACTAACAATCAGATGTGCACTTCTGCCAAATGCAGCCAGTGTTTGATCCACATTCAGATCAGGGAATTATCTGTACTTTTTTTTTTTTCCTCCTGGCATATCTCATTCTGACATAATATTTGTACAGGGTATAACAAAGATAGATATGTAAATAAGGAATGACCTTTTCTAAAATTCATCTGTGGTGGCTCTTATATTGCTTTTAGGTGAAATGAAATCATCTACAGACACCAAATGAGATCAAGGACCATTGTGCTCTCAGACTGGAAGATGTAACCTTTTGTGAAACATTTCAAATCAAAATACTCTGGACACATAAAAGAAACAGATTTTTCACCTTCCTAGAAAGGAGAGCAGAAGTGATTGATCACTGTTGGCAGGAACACTTTGCTTTTGTCAGCAGAACCTCTGGAGGAGCCCAGGTAACTCTCATTTCAGTCCTTCAGCACAGATTTCTGTGTCCCACACGTATTTGCTATCCTAATTTATGTGTACCTGCTTCTGCTGTTCTTATCCACTGCTGGTGCATACAGAGTGTTCATTTTTGTAAATTATCAGGTTGTAGATATAAGTTACCATAGTAAACTGAGCCTGAGCCATTCAGGAACTGCTTCCCTGTCCCTTCTGGCTCATCTTTTCTTTCTCCAGGGGCAATGGCACACAGGGAAGAGGTAGGTCTAAAGGCAAGGATAGCAGCTGCCTTACCTGTCAAACACTGGCCTCTTTTATTCATGAGTTTATATACAGTTCAGTCAAGGAAAAGGTCCAAATAAGTAAATACCATTAAATAGGAAAAGGACAACTGGGAAGAGTAGATGAACCAGTCAGAAATCTCCAACTGGATTTCATGGAATTCCTCCTTTGCAGGTGACCCTCTTTGTATGAGAAATATGCCCTCAGGCCCTGAAGTTTTAAATTTTATCAAAATGTGTTAACTTACTTGATTTTTGCTGAGGATTGCAATATTTCTTGAAAAGTTTATATGAAGGGTTTGGATGTGATTTTTTTTTTTTTCCTGCACCTACAGGAATGTTATCATCTGTTCTGAAGCAAATCAGCTTCCTGGGAGCTTTACCATTATTCAGGTTAGGGTCATGTTAGCTGTGTAGGAATATTGCCATCAGATAAACAGACCAACAATGCTGAAATAAGGCATTTAAATATTACATTTACTTTTATATATTGAAATAAAATGGTATGTATGGAATTTTATTTAATAGAACATGAATGTGACTTTAGGTAAATGTGTCCAACAGGCTGAAGCAAATGCTTGAAAGTTTTTATTTTGCTACTTTATGCTTATAGTGTGGTGGTATAAACTGCTTTTGTTAGTTTAATAACAAGGGTGGGAAGAGACCAAGTACTGAGAGATCAATTTAAAAAGTAGCTCAGAAGAATTAAACACAGGAGAGCAACTTCAAGGTGTCTGGTGTTTTATTTCATGGTAACAAAAATATTGCACATGGATTCATCAAACACAGTTGTTGGGTTTCCTTTTGTTCTTTGGTTTGTTCTTTCTGTTAAAACCTGTGGTAGGGCAGAATTAGTGCTGGAAATTTCCTTTCCTAATGACCTCAAATATACTCATTTTAAACCCAAGAAGGTGCCTTTCCAGAAAAGTGCCGGAGGCTCTTCGAGCAGCATCAACATGACACAGAGATGACACTAAATTAGGTACCTACATTTGTATTAAAAACTGCAGCAAGTCTCAACAGAACTGTTTTTAAACTACTGCAAAATGTATTTAATATTCATAGATTAAACATATATGGAGGTAGTCTTAAAAAAACACAGGGATTACAGAAATGTAAAAGATTTCATCTTTTTTTAAAGAAATCATTTACTATCAGTCATGATTTCTGAGTGGTATCTGTGAGATTACAGAAAATAAAAGCAGTGATTAGGGGAATGTAACAGATTTAATAGTTTTTTATTACTTCCTATCAGTGATGATTTCTGAATGGTCTCTGTGAGATCATAAAAAAATGCAGTGATTATGGGAATGTAACAGATAATTTAAAAAAAAATATTTACTATTAATCGTGATTTCTGAATGTTACCTGTGAAATGATGAAAAAATGTAGTGATTATGGGAATGGAACAGATTTAACCATGTTTTATCATTTACTATTAGTCATGAATACTGACTGTTACCTGTGAGAGGATAAAAAATGCATTGATTACAGGAATGTAATGGATTTAAACATTTTTTTTTAAAACCCCATTTATTATCGGTCATGATTTCTGAATATCATCTGTGAGATTATAAAAAAATGCAGTAATTACAGGAAAGAACAGATTTAATCATGTTTTATCACTTACTATCAGTCATGATTTCTGAATGTTTCTGTGAGATTAAAAAATTCTGGGAATGTAACAGATTTAATCATTTCTAAAAAAACCCATTTACTATCAGTCATGATTTCTGAATGGTATCTGTGAGATTAAAAAATTATTAAATCTCAACATTCCCAGAATGACTGCATTTTTTTTATATCATTTACTCTCAGTCATGATTTCTGAATGTTATCAATCTGTGAGGTTATAAAAAAGTGCAGTGATTCTGGGAATGGAACAGATTTGATAATTTTTTACCATTTCCTATCAGTCATGATTTCTGAATGTTACCTGTGAGATCATAAAACAATGCAGTGATTATGGGAATGTAAGATATTTAATTATTTAAAAAAAACCCCCAAAACATTTACTATCAGTCATGTTTCCCTGGTCAGTCTTTCTCCCTTTCCCTAGAGAGGAAGGAACATGATAATCCCTTCTTTTAAGTAGATTTTGCAGTTGTATAAGCTGGTTGCTTGCTTTCTGTACTCCAAGGTGGCCAGCAGGGCAGTAGTAGAAGGATTTGTCCATGTTCTTGGCAGGGATCTGTACATTGGGGACATATCTCTGAAGTATGAAAATGCCTTCAAGCTGTCCCAGAAGACAAGTGCTTTACACAAAGTCATGTTGCTGGAGCTCTTCCGCCCGCTTATGGCACAGTTTAAAATAATCTGTAGGGAAGAAATCCCAAGATGTGATTTCTGAAGTAGTTTCCTAAAATAAGAAAAAAAAAACCAGACAGTGTTGGTATAGGACCAAGCTCTGAGGATTTCCACCTCATGATGGTATAAGGGTGTATTTTCCATCCCGTGCCTCCCCAGCTCGTGTTCATTTGTGTCCCACAAAGACTCCCAGCACAGACAGGGACTGACTGCATCAAAGGCCTTTGTGTGAAAATATGGACAATGCTATAAACTAACCTTGTGTTAACCTACCCGAGAACAGAGGACAAGAATTCTGAATGCCAAAATATAGAGAGATGTGTGAAAGGGAAAACTTATACAAAAGTAGGCAGACTGAATAAAACTATTTATCTTTAAGCCACACAAGTCATGGTAATTAAATTAGGTCAGGCTGGCTATAAAGCTACAAAAAGCAGGCTGTAACTAATTTAGAAAGAGGCAGAGAAGACCTGAAAAGAAAACAGATTGACAGCCCCCTATTATTTTTTATCTAATCAAGACAACAAAACTTAAGAAAGAGGAAAAGAAAAAAAAGGAAAAAGAAAAAAACTCATGTTGATTTATCAAGATTTCTCTCAAACCATTGGGACGGACAAAAGCATGTAGTCACAGCTTTGATGTGGGAAGGGTTTCATATTGTTATTAGTGCTAACCATGGGTTACAAGCATACAGATTCTACCCTGAGAAAATCAGAATAATTGAGTACCTTAAAGTTCACAAACTGGTGGACTAGCACAATCAAATCTTTATCATTACACTATCATTTCACTGAATCTTCCTGAGCATCTGTATCATCTACTTTGTGAAGAGAAATCTTAAACATCTGTGAAAAGAGGAAAATTAGACTTTTATTTAAAACCATTTCTTCATAAATCCCCCCCCTGCCAGTATGTGTTAAACAACCCTTTTTGAAACTGGTTTCAAATACTTGCTTTGAATTTGAATGTGTCAGGTTGTATTGGTACTTCCCACACCCTTGTCTTGGAAGTTAAGATTAAGATTTTATTTATAGGTGTGGATCCAATCTCATTAAACAGGGTTTAAAATAATATTTCAGTTGATTTCTATAATAGTTTTTATTCTCCAAGTGATTAGAAAAATTAGCATTCTAAGGCTGTCTGAAGGGTGAAGAGGAGTGTGTGAACAAAACGGGGGAAGGGCACAGACAAAAAGCTGGGTTTGTGTTGGTGTTTAATAGCAAACAACCCTTTCCCACCCTGCTTCTCTTTTATGCCTGCTCTAGTTTTAAGTGACTTTTAAAGGTTTTGCAGCAGCAGATGACGCTCAGCCACCACATTCATCTGAAAGAAGATATGAACTTTGCCCCACGAAGGAAATATTGGAGGTTTCAACACAATTAAGGGGTTGCAGATTCTCTGTGAAAATGGAAATTCCCTCCTATTTCTACCAATAGGTCCTAAAGGGTGAAGTTTTGACCCCGGTGAAGTCAATGGAACCTTCACTCTTTCATTAGGACAAGAGCCATCTCTCATCACATCTTGCAGTTGGGACAATGAAATGTGGTTAGGAAAGGAGAAACTGTTTCCTTGGGGAATGGCCATTAGGTACCACCTTCTCCAGACAATGAGGGGGAGACTTGGAGAGATGATCAGAAAACACGCACGAAAATGCAGAGGGTCAGAAAGGGGGAGCAGGCAGGGGAACAGCAACATTCAGCATTTCCCCTCTCCTGTAGGAAAATGTAGTATAGAGAACATCAGCAGAGCTGGGTTGTCCTTTTGTCAGAGCTGAACTGGCACCAGGAACCAGGTTTGTTTCTGTCTGAGAGAAGGAGCTCTCACCCTTCACCTTGAAGAACACTCAAAGCTCCTTGTCAAGTGTAAGTCAGAATTTAACAAAAAAGTTGCAAAACTAATGAGCAGAACCTCAGAGCATTGGCCCAGAATTTGGCCCAGACACAAACTCCCTTACTCGAGATCTTACCTAAGTAACCTTTCTGTGTGCTTAGTGTTCAAGATATTCAGAGCTGGACTGGATTCATGCAGAGATGGACTGAAGTACTGTTGCCAGGTACAGAATCCTGGTAAAAAATCACTACCTGAAGCATAATATAGAACCAGATTTTTAAAGACAAACCACACAACGAAGTCTGAACTCCCAGGACTTCAGTATAACAATTTACTGCTGTATGCACTGTTCACATGTAGCCAATATGAACCCAGGGATTGAATTAAACTCCCTGAGTTTTGACAGATTTGCTTTTACTTCATTTTTATTGCTCATAGGTAAAAGGAGACCTGCCAGCCTACTATAGATACTGGATCTACAGGATTTGGACCATAACATCTTATGTTTTATTGTGTTTCTTTTAAAAGACCTCTCCTATTTAACTAGAAGCTGTAGTTTCTGGGTTTTTTTCCTATTTTATGCTTAAGATAAATTGGAGGTGGCACAGAGCAGCGGAAGAGCAACAGCCTTTAGAAGCACTCTCCAAAATTAAGAGTTTGTGAAATACTTTCCAAACATCTGCACGAGCAGTGCTACATGAACCTTCCAGCCTCCTGGCTGAAAGGAGGGTCCTTTAATCTAAACCATGTTCCTTGGGATTTCTTAATGGACTTAATTCTTCATTTTCTTTTTATATTTTGCCAGTGAGAAACTGCCCAGTGGTCATTACCTCCGAGTCCTTTCCACTAACCATGTCTCTTAGTCCTGGCACGATGCTGTACGTCTGCATTGCATGGGGATCTCCTCAAACAAAGGAAAATTATGAAACTGTCAGATCAGATTTCATACATTACTCTTGGCACTGCGCTCACTAGACCTGGTACACAGTGAATTTTGAAAGCCTCTGATCTTTTATAACCATTTCCAGTCTTACACGTACATTTAAAAGTTCTTCCTCTGCAGTCACTGGGAATATGACTGTTAAAGCTGAGGTAATTTGGATACTTTCTTTCTGTAAAGATATATAGAGTGATCCATTACACCCATAAATCATTTCCAATCTTTCATTATTCTTTCTGCTATGCTTCTTATTGGTATTTTTTAATACTGAATTTATTTCTTTCACTTTTTTTTTCCTGCTAGGGATATATAATGCTTTAGAACTTAAAATCAAGGTGCTTGGATGTGCCTATGGGCATGACCACTGACAAGGGGTTCAGAGTGGTGAGCTCCTACTAGGTCTAATGATACCATAAAATACAGACATCAAGGACACAAAATCTCTCTGTGTCCACCTGAAAGCCTAATGCACCTCAGTTATTAATCATTCTGGGGCTGTGAGGGGAGTGTGATCCCTCTGCACTGTTGTGTTCCTCCTCAGTTCAGGGAAATCAACCACACTGAAGATACCCTGACCTTTTGAGGCTTAACTAGGAGAGAAGATCCCTTGGCACAAGATCCTGAAAGTGTATTTGTACACTGCTTCTCTTGGCCAATTCAAAGGGCCACACAGGGGATTCCCAGGGTTGAAAGCATCAGCCATGACAGCTACAGCCTAAATTAGAAGAAAGTGCTGCACTTACCAGAGAACACGAGCAGACAGCAATTCCATGTTATTTGTGGGAGGTTCTTCCCATGTCTTTTCGGCCTGCAAACAGAACAAAAGCATGCTGACTTTAATGCCTGCCTTGTAAACAACTTGCATCCACTTCTGAATCCCCTCCTGCCTTTCCTTCACTCGTATGAACACTTCCAAGAGGAAGCTACTTTGTAAATCTCTCAAAATCTTCTGATTGCACTTTTCTTATCTGTACAAATCATGGACAAGTCAGAGTAAAATACCTGTGTACCTCTGTTACAAATACAGTACTTTTTGATTGTGGCTGCCACCCATTTCCTAGTAGCCTTTTCATCCTGACTAGGAGATCAGTGACTTTTCTCTGAAGGATTGTTTTTATGCTTTCTGTTTTTCCATTCCTTTCCATTTCTCTTGGCCATCTACCTGGCTGTGTAGCCTATTCCTCAGGCTCCCTCTGCTTTTGTTCGCTCAGGTCCAAGGCTTTCCTTGTCTACATACCAAGTGCTGGTCTCCTACCTCAGTGTTTCTTTTGACTGATCCTGTTATCAGTTCCATTGCCTGATATTTTGCAACACCATTGTACTTCAGGGAGAGTAAGTCAGTGTTAAGCCTTGAAAGCTAAAGAGCTTCTTCAGCCCAATAATATTCCAAGAGTATGGTTGGGTTGAGTTGGGACGTTGTATATTGGAAATAAATAATTCCTAAGTCACCAGGGAATAAATCCTCGTGGGTTCTTCTCTTGGGAAGAGACTCCAATAGTCTCTTTCTTGTTTTAGAGAAATTCCAAATTTAGCTCAGCTGTTTTTTCTGCACTGGAAATATGTGTCATTTCTCTGAGAGAAGGACATTAAAACATTTTTCCTTAATGAGGTTTGTGGATAATATTGCCTACACTGGTCTTAACAACAAGCATAAAGAGAACATTGAAAGAAAGATAAAACTAGCTAATGAATTGCAGAGTTTCTCTAGGCAAAGAAAGAAAAACAAAAGTCTGACTGATATGGCCATCCAACACTCTCTCAAAAGAAACAGTTCTTCAGCCAGACCATTCCCTTCCCTCACGACAAAGCCAAACAAAGAGAACTCATGCATTAACTTCTTTGATTCTCAAAGAAGAAAGCCTATAATTTAACTAAGAAATGTTTTATATCTAGAAAATATGATACACTGTGCTTTTGGAAGTGAAAAAATCAGAGCACCAAAGAAAGGGCAGTGCACAGAAATATGTCAGGTTTATCAGTGAGTGTAATGTGGAGGAAAGTAGTCATTAATTAAAGAAAAGGAAGTGTTTTAGGGGAGGATTCAGGTGTTTAACAGAACCCTGAGCTTTGCTCTAAGTGGTGTGGGCAGAAAATCTGTGAGGTTTGCTCAGAGTGGTTCACCTTGTGACCAACCACATTAGGGAAGCTGCTCCACAGCCCCAAGTTCAGGATGGAGATTATTACACCACTTAACCTTATCCTCAGGTCAGGCCCTCCCAGATCCATTAACTGTCATTTGCTTTCCTCCTGCTCTCAAAGGCCCTTGAGATGATCTGAAAATAAAAGGACCTGTTTTGCTTCAAATCCTTTAGCGTGGCTGGAGCTTTGCTCTCACAACCTTCAGCAAAGCAGGGCAGCACAAGAGCAGGGCAGCATCACTGTGGGGTGGCAAAAGCAGCCCTGGGATCTGAGACATCACTTCCTATTTTCAGGACTTCTGTTATGTTATTAGATGGCAAAGGCAGTAATTCCAACTCCCAGAGATAAAAAAGATGCTCACAAAATAATACGTGAACTGAATCTATCTCGTTTTTTTTAAATTTTTTTGAAGGTTTAGGAAAAAAAGAGGGGAAATAGGTACTCACCCAAAGGAAAAATGAACAAGGCACAGGAGGACACACGGCCAGCACACGTTGCACTTGAGCTGTTCTCAGCTGGAGGACAGGCCTCTGCAGGCTGGCACAGGTTCCAATCTCCTCACGGTGTCTTACTCTACTCTGGGATCCTCATATGGAATTTTCTTAAGTGAACAGTGAAAGGAAAAAAAGCTTTTGTGTAAGTAAAAGATTGGTTTACTTTGCTATGATGGTTTAAGAGGTCTTTAATATGGTTCTTAAGCTATAACTCTTGGGACCACCTCATTCCTTATGCCTCTTCCTCTGAGTGGGAATGTTGCAGCAGAGCACAGTTCAGCACTACATGCTCCATTAAAGGAGCTTATATAGCATCCTATAGGCCTAGAGGTCCTGTGGAAATCTTTGGCAGATACAAAAGTACTTTGGAAAACTGTGGGAATGCTGATGACCTGACAGTGATTTTACAGCACTAGAAAAAAATACCCACCTGTATGGTATGGCAGAACCTGTCAGGATGGATCAAACAAAGATTTGCCAGTAACTGGGCTGTGCAGCTTTCCAAACCACTAACCTTCTGCTTAGCCCAGGCCTCTGTTTCCTCCAAACCCTCATAAACAATTATTACAGATGGGCACTAAGACCCTACAGGAAAATCCTTCCCTGTCCTAACAGCACCTCTGCCTTGTGATAGTCTCACAGGAACTTTTTCCCCCCCTACCCCAGCAGAAGATGGCAAAAAAAAAATATATATGGGCCTATGTGGGATAGCCAAGGGCTGAAGTACCAGAAAGCTGGGCATGAACGAGAGAGACTTAAATCACACTTGAATTGCAGGCACGGCTTCAGCTGCTGTGCAAAGAGCCCTGACACTGTTCTCAGCACAGGTATTATTGTGCTCTGGGGGCCGCTGGCAATTAACTGCCCAATACATCAGAACAAGACAGTTCTGTGTAATTTGGCTTCTCCTCTCCTGTGTGTTCATCAACACATCAGGAGCAGCACAACTGAAAGCAGAGCTGGGCCGCAGGGTGATTTGGAGCTGACTGAGGGCTGCAGTAACGGGCAGTGCACTGGCACTCCGGGCACCAGGACTTGGCATGTGCCAGTCCTTTTGTAGCACCTGCTGAGCAGAAAGGCTCTGCTTGCAGCTCCAGCTGGACATGCTGTGCTGATAAATCTCCTCTCACAGTGTGACCTCAGCACAGCACAGACCTGGCACTGGTGGCTCTGCGCTTGTACTCCATTAGCGGGGTCACAGGCAGCTCCTGGGAGCCGTGGGCTGCAGTCACCACAATCCATGGGAAGGGCTGAGCAAAAAGTGGTGCTGAGTGTCCTGTGCTGTTCTGTGCCACGGCTGGGAATAAACCACAGCGCTGCTGATTGCTGAGCCACACACAAACAGCCCAGGCCCCGGAGGAAAACGAGCCATGAATTATCTGATGACACAAAGGCAGGAGCTGAGAGAGGTGCAGTCCCAAAGCCCTGTGTCCCTTTGACCTGACACAAGTACCTGCCCTACTTTTACACTTAGAGATGACCAATCTAAACCTTCTGACCTCAAAAGCCCTACTGCACAGATTCACGATGGGCACCTGAGTAGTTTATTTGCAGAACTATCTTGCCTTGCCAGATGTATGTCATAATCTATCAGCATAGAGGTAGGAGTTAAAGATTGACAGGGTAATTTAGTCTGGGTTAACATGGAAAAGAGAGCTTTTTAAATGTGAAAAAAATGTGTCAAGCATGTACAAGTATTTTGAGAACTGACTGGCATTCCATAAATAGCATGAGAATAATTTATAGCAAACCAAAATCTTATTCAAAGATACTGAAAAGTATAAAATTCCCTAATTTAACAACAAGCAATAGGACAAACACAAGAGTTAACCAAGTATCTGATTCAGTTACACATGACCTGAATCAACATTGAATGTGTAGAGATGTGTTAGTATGACTTTAATATTATAATTATTTTCATTCATTAAGAGATTACAGATTGAGAGAGATAATCTCAACTCACAAGAGAATGCTTTTTGCTGTGTTATTAAGGTACAGATCTAAATAAGTTTTACATGGACTATGAAGGGTGCTCTGTGCCTTCCTGGAGACAGGAGGGTAAATCTCGAGATAACCACTTCAGACTGGCTGCATATTTTTGTATTTTCCCCCTTCACAGTTGTTAAAACTTTATAGAGCCTCAAAACATATCCAGATGGACAGTAACTGTGACTGCCACTTATGAAACCAGTATAATCTAGCACAATACACAAAGTAGGGTAAGCGTGGAAGGAAAACAAGTTCTGAATAGAGGACCTCCTTGGAATATTGGATCAGCCATCAGACACACCAATTCTGTTTAGACAGGCCTGTTATACACACCCAAATGTTCTGCAAAACAAAGCACACCCCCATCCTTTCACCACTGCAGCTCCCAAACACTTCTGCCCAAGGGTGGTCTTCACCCTGCCCGAGGCAGTGTTTGTGCCTACGTCTTTATTCCCAAACTGAAGCAGTGGTTTCCATAGCGTTTTGGCAAAGCCCAGACACATAACCCATGTTCATCCTCTCAGAGGAATATTCTGTCCTGGCAGTTCTGTTTGGGTCTGACTCTCTCAAATACGCAGTAGAAGAATATGAACAAACAGCTCACTTACCAAGGCCCTGCCGTTCTGGCTCCAGTGGATATTCCCCTGCACACATCCTTCGTCCTGCCTGTGCCACACCGGGATTACCATAAACAACAGCACCACAGCAGAGAACCTGGGCAACAGAAAACTGTTGTTATTTGAGGTTACTGCCATTGTTCCTGTGTGCGATAATATCTGCTAAACACAGCAATAGAAGGTGACTTCTTTGTATTTTGGTGCTGGGCACAGAATCTGTAATTTTTGCATACAGGATGCATGCAGCACAACAGGGTGATTGGGTAATAAAGCCATAATATAAAAAAACAAACCAAAACAAACAACAAACCTTGGCAAATTCATAGCAATTATATCTATGGTTTCATTCCTCACTCCAGTCGGTGTGGGTGCTTAATTCCACTGAAGTTAATTCCAACACCAGTTTCTACTTACGCATATATTGGCAGAGACAGATCTCAGCGCAGCAGGCATTCTCAATTTCTTCCTTATTTGTCACATTTCACAAATTCCCAACTTATAAGTTAACAATTAAAAAAGCTCTAAGGGATATTGCGATTTTAATTCACGATATTTCATCCCCTTTCCCAGCTTCCTCCCTTTCCTTCCAATTCATAGTACTCGAATTATCTGTTCAAACCCAAGTTCAGTTACACACCTGCTTCTCCTGGCGAGAGTGTGTTTGGAAAATATATTGTGCAAAAGGATATGTCCTCTTACCACATGGTAGTAGTGGTGTGTTTTAGCTTGCTGGTTTGCAGCAAAGATTGTTTGCCATATGTCTCAACAGACCCTGCTCCTCTTTTCCAAGCAATTGGCTCAGGGAGCTATGATTATTTAATTTGGTTTTTGGTCTTTTCACGTCACGATTAGAGACTGGCATGTGAATTATTTAATTAAGCTGTGAATATTGCTGAGTTAAACAAACGCTGTGTCATTCAGCTATTTACGCCTAACAAACTCAATTAAAAGTAAAAAAAGTTAGTTAAAAGCTAAATCATCTTTAGTCTTTTGACCAGATGTAATGTAACCATATGACATACCATCCTGTTGAGTAAGGAAGCTGTTGTTAAGGCTTTTATCAAAGAAAAAAAGAGAAAAAAAAAAAAGTTGTGATATTTTTGTTTGGTTTTCTTCATGTCCCAAATGAAGCTCGTGCCTTTGTCATTTCAGCTGAGCCCTGTTCTGTACTGAGGTGACGGAGCCACTCCAACAGTTGATCACATGTAAATGTGCTGCACAAGACCCAGATCATGAACAAAAGCACTCCAGGGTTTCAGTGAGCACAGCACAGGAGCAGAATATTAACCACCAATCCTGCCTTGGTAAAAACGCCTTTTGCTTGGTCATGGCACATAACAGGGTTTCATGCCTCCCTTTTTGGCATGTCTGGTGCCACAGACTCCCCAGGAACCTCACTTCATTCAGATGTCTGCCTCTTAATAAGCTGATCTTCAGAGCAGCTATTTACTCCTTCATTGCTGGGTTACTCCCTCAGCACATGATTTTCTCTCAGAATGGTCCATGAAACAGAAAACTCACGGCATCAGGCAACTCCAGCCACGGGCAACGGCAAGAACGCTCATGAGGCCAATGTGGGATCTCCTCATTTCACTGCAGAAATTATTTAAAAATTAAATAATCCCTTCAGGTGGCTCAAGCACTTATTAGGGATTCTAGGGTACATTAGAAAAAATACTGTATCATTAATCAATATTGTTTAAACATCAGTATGTACAAAAAAATTATAAAAGTGATTTAAACATCCTGTCTCCTTTTCATGCCTTGGATGTATCTACTTCTTGCTTTTTAATTTTTCAGGAGAGACCACCGTGTATTGGCTAATTGTTAAAATACATTTCCTTCACCCATTCCTTCTGCCCAAACGCTTGCAGTTGTGGAAATGTTCAAAACACTCCCTCAGTGAATCATGGTTGTATGAGGAAGACTGGGAAAGGAGAGAAAGAAGAGACTTCGTGACTTGGCTCCTCCCTGTAGTTTATGACTCTTGATTTTTCAAGTCTTGATTTAAGTTTGACTGTTTTCTTATCCAGAAATGCCCCACAGGTACCTCCTAAATTTAATGTACTGCCAAAATAACCAAAAGTTGGCTTTGTTAGATAGCCATCAACAATTAAGAAATCAATTTTAAAATATTTGTTTTTCCTTGATGTTTTTTGCACTAAATTTGCTTCTCGAAGCAAGAAGTTACAGAGCTGAAGAACAGCTGGAAGTATTGAGCTGGCCGAGTATGATCTGTGTAAGGAGCAGACCCTACTATTTGTAGCACCGTTAAAAGGTAACAAGAAAAGCTTTGCTTGACACAGAATAGAGGCATAGACTGGTGAAAATAACAGATCTGGATATGCAAGTACTGTTCCCTAGCAAGATTCCGAATTAGTACAATGTGAATCCAAAGTCATAATTGATGTCAGTTGTCCAGATGAAGGAGAAGGGTTTAGGATTAATGAAAAGATGGGTTACTTTTGTCTCCACTGTCAGACTACAATAAAAAATTAGAAGGACAGGGAGGAGAGATTTTCCTGAACCGCAGCTACTCCAAAACCTTCTTATCCTCTGTCTTCCCAGCCTTTTTGTTTCCTTTCAGGCCCATTTGGACAAGCATCACTCAGTCTCCTTAGTCTCTTTTGGTGATGTTCTCTGGGTTTCCAGTTTATTTCTGCAAAACCTGAAAAATCTGTATTTGCATCACAGGCTGACCAAAATGTTCTTTAATTATTTCCCAGGAGCTTTGCTTCTTTCTCTGAGGGGGCACCACTGCATTGCTACACTGAAGGGCTTGTCAACACTCCCATTAGAGATGTCTAATCTTGGAGGACACTATAATCCAAACGGCCTAATTACACAGAGCTACAATTTGTTTTACAAGATTTCAGGACAGATGCCAGTTATTTAATATGCTTACACTGAAATAACTTGGCTTTTTTTTATTTCTTCTTTTTTGGGAGGGGGAAGAAAATCACAGTAGAGTCAAAACTTGCCGGATTGCTTCTTGTCAAGGCAGCCCTTTGCTCCATTCCCATCTCTATGTTGCCTTTCTCAGTTACCAGTTTTTAGACTCAACTGCTATCACTCCTAAGCCTTGCAGGGGAACTTGTTGCCCAGCCTATTTCTTGGTATTGTCTTTTTTTCTCTCACTTTTAATCCTCCTGTGACTTTGAGGAAAGTATCTTCATACTTGTGAGGCCTTTGGAAGTTTTCAGAGCATTTAGATCATGTTCAGATAGAACTCTGAGTATTTATGTATGAAAATTCTTTGAGTTATTTGAAAATTGTCAATAGTATCTTCTGCATTTGTTCAGTACAGAGGGATTTTAAAAATTCATATCAGAACAGCTGCGGGTGAGAGAAAGTTCATTCCTTATCGGTCATCCGAAATTGCTGAGCTGCTTTTATGAAAGCAGTGAAACGAATGCAGAAACTAAACCCAGGGACTGCCTGATAACGCTCTAAGCCAAAAGCAAACCAGAAAAAAACCAGCAGGCATTGCTACTCCAGCTCACCTCATCTGGACCTTAAACCGAAGGGGAACAGGACCCATCTGAAGCCTGTGGGCAAGGCAGGCAGACACGGCGTTGGAGAGAAAAGGTCAAACATGAAGCTCTTTCTTCCAAATTGAAATTTCAGGGAATTGTCATCAAGTCCCCATCCACACAGAACAAGCGAAAATGTGATGATGAGGGGCCTGAGGATAATCCTCGGACAAACACTGGTCTCCATCAGCCCGGCGGCACTCCGGAGTCTCCCGCCTGCCCTGGGACTGCTCTGCCTCGCTGCTCCAGAGAGGGTCACCCCACAGTGAACGCAGGCATCTGGTTTTGTATTCAAGCAGTTCAAGGTTTCTTGTCAGCTGCCTCAGGGATATTTCAGTCAGATGAACTCTTACCTACAGGACCATAAAAGAGAAGAGTTAACAAGGGTTATGAGGTGTTACAGCAAAGGCAATGAGGTGCCTTTATGGGACCTCTGCAAAGGGCTTGACACGCTGAGCACAACAGGCAGAATTCCCCTTCCACCAGTGTTTTGAGGAAGGTGGAAAACCCAAGCTTTTCCCAACCATGGCCTGTCTGCTCACGTGTGCACAGGAAATCTTGAGGCACCATCTGAGGCATGTTAAGCGCTCTGTGTTCAGCCAAGGTTCCCAATCCCTGGCTGAAAGCACATGGAAAACCAGTGCTGGCAAACCTGAGGCTGTCAGGGATTTTGGCCATTACACTCAGTCATATTTATTTTATTAAAGGTAGGATGAGATGGGCAGACACGATTCTGCCTGTATTTCACTTCTTAAAATTAGTCAGAACATTTTTCTGTATTAAAGATCCATACATTCCACAGGTCATCTCAAAGTCATAAAAGAAGAAATGCTCTGGGCTGGCTGAAACATTGGCTGTCACCATAGAAATGGTTCAGATGGTGCAAGTAGAGAATGAGAGGTTTAATTTTAAATTATACATTAAATATTTTAAAATTCTAAATAAGTTGTTTTTTTTTACTGTAAAAAGCTCATTAGACTTTTAAAGGGATAGTTGCAGTAACAGTACAAGGTGGAAAATATGGCTAAAACTCTACTACAGCTTTTTTCCTGTTTGTTATGGCACTGTAGTTAAAAGTAAACTTCTACACTGAGCAGGAATTTCACCTCTTTGGAATTAAGGTCCCAACTCTCTTGGATAAGCAAGAAGGGTAATACCTTTATACTGGTTCCCACAATTTGCTATATAACAAATATTTTTTATATATTTGTTTATAAAAACCTTACCTAATTTATGATAGAAATGGATTTATATGTTTTGTCTGCAGGGGAAAAATACATTCAATACATAAAATATTCCCTGAAAAATAGCTGGTAACTGTGAAAAACAGTGGCTAAAGTTCTACTGAGAGAGTGGCTTTGCTGTGTGCACAAATTAATGCCGGGTTTCCAAGAGAAAAGATCTGTGTTTCCCAATTTGCTTTGTAAAAATCCATTACTATTCGTTAATGAATCCTAATTGTAATATAAAAAAACTAAAAAAAAAAAAGTAAACCAAAAGGTAATACAAAATAAATTGAGATGGAAACGTTAAAAAACAAGATTAACAATCTGTAAGTGACTCAGCAGCTCGGCCTGGCAGTGCAGGTGTTGAGGGTGGCAGTTTATGTTAAGAACTGTCCTTACAGGCAGAGTTTCTCTGCACTGGATCTGCAGGCGGTACCCTGGGCAGTGGTGTGTTTGCAGCAGGTCTGTTACACCGGTGTGGTTGTGCTCTCTTGGCTGGGACTGGAGTCTCCATCATGGAAAAGTGTTGTATTTTATCCTCAAAGTGATCATAAACACATCCACGAGCACAACAGACCAGGCATTTGCATTGTGGTGTTTGAAGCTGTGTAAAAGATATTGCAACAGTTAATTTTCTGCTTTAGTAAGGCTTTTCCTCAGCATCAATTGCTACTAAATAAGTTCCTAACATTTTTCATGGGCATAACTTGCAACAAGACAGCAATAACAATTACATATTGTTTTCAAATAAGATGCCATTTTCCTTTCTGGCAGGCAGCAATGGGGTTTTAATGGGCAACATTTGTTTCATGAAACTCACAGATGCTTCCCTGACATTTGCAAAGGAAGAAAAGAGAAGAAAACAAACCCAGAGAAAAGGCAGAAAATACAAAGAGAAAGATTCAGCTTCCATCCCAGTGATTCCTCTTGCGTCCCAGGCTGATGCACATTTTGCCTGGATCAGACACCCCTGAGGAACCTGTGCTGCAGAGCTCTGCTGAGAACTTGGGTCTCTCCCCTGGTGTAGCCCCCCCAGCCACTCTGAGTCATGATGGGAAATACTGGGAGTTACCAGGCAAGTGGGGCCAGTCAAGGAGAAGCAAAAATCAGAGGGGATAAACTTTCCAAGAGGACAAGCTTTCCAAAAATATAGATTAAAAAAAAAGAAGACAAATATAAATGGCACTGACCTCATTCTGGTAGAGGAAACAGTAGTAGTCTTAACCCAAAGAATGGAAAAGCCAACATCTGGGAGGAGCCAAGACAGTAGCTATGGCCACTGCTTTTCCATGTCTATGTTTTGAGCCCTCCAGCATATCTGGTGAGTGGCAAGAGGCACTTTTTTCCTGAACAGACCCAAACCATGAGACTTTTTGAAAAGAGCCTGTCAGCACTGCCTTGTGGTCGGTGCCAGGGAGCCAGAGACAGGCGACTGAGTGCCTCAGTCTAAGTGGCTGGACAAAATCCAGGGGCTCCGTGTATTCTGCACAACAAAGGAAAATTGGTATTGTCACCACATATCTTTGAAGCAATCCTGCTTACCTACAAGGGTCCTGTTCCCCAGGCCACTCACACACAGCACATGGATTTGTTGGCACAGCTCTAGGTCAGGTTCAAGACTCAGCCCACAAACCTTCTTCCTCCTCACCTTCTCTTTCCTCTAGAAAAGGCATTCCCCAGACAGCTACAGATCAGGAGATGCTTCCTTGTTATCTGCCAGAAACTGAACAAACTCTGTGGGGAAAAAAAACCCCAAAGTAATTCTAATTCTGTAGCAAGTCCAGTTGTATTTTTCTCTCCTTCCAGCAAATGAGAGAAATGCTTTTGGTTTGTGTCTTCTTTTCTACCTGTACATACTAGAGTTGAATGCTATGGATAATTGTAAAACCAAGAGGAGACTTCTTAAGCAAAAATATCCAGTAATAACCACGTTCTAACTCATGTAGGTCTGAAGAATTTTTAAGGCATCATGTGCTGAGGGTGGGACAGCCAGAGTCACTGGTGTGCTCTGACGGCTTCCTGTTCAGTTAGCCTGTACCATTCCCATTAGTTTAAATGGAGGCAGGATTTAAAGCTATGCAGGTCGTACCTACCTGAGAAATACACACAGACTTTAATACAGGACAAGTGTAGGCTCAGTGGATGTACAGTGTACAATCCCAATACCCACAATTCCTGCACTGCCACAGCCAGGCCATGTTGCCTCCCCAGACATTGCCTTCCTGAGGCTTTGGCAGATATAATTTTATTTCTTCACACTGTGAGGCTCCATTGTTCACTTGAGATCATTCCACAGTTCAGTAGATTTACTATAGATGTTTACCCCTAGAGTTCATCCTAAACTCAACTTTCTTTAATTTAATCCCATTCTCTACAAATCTCTTTTTTTTTTCTCCATGGGTAGTAAGGCATTCCTTTTTTATTCCAAATAAAGCCTAACTACTAGCAACTAGAAATCAGCCTTATTCCTTAGTTGGAGAGACATAATTTTGAGCAGGTATAGGTAATTATGGACCATACTTAGGGGTCCTTTAAAACTTTCTGCTCCATTTCCTGTCCCTGCAGGGATGGTAATTGCTGTTACACATGACAGTGTCACAGCAGTGAGCAGGGCAGCACTGACAGGCTCCAAGGACAGCTCCAGGCTGGGAGAGGGGAGGGAACTGCATCCCAGCCCCGCAGAACACCAGAGACCAAAACACACCCATGAGGGAGGGACCACGGTTGGATGGGCTTCTCCCCAGGCTATTGTACCCCAGTGCAGAAACAGGGAAATGGGACTACTGGAAATTGAGTCCATAAGGAGAGAAAGGAGCGGGTCATATTCTGATTTCACATTGGCTTAATTCGGGAGTTGCTCTAATAACCCTGTGGAATCGGGTGGGTTTGAGTGCCAGCTGAAGTAAAAAGGCAGCTCAGGCTGAGGCGATGTGTTCTGCCAGGGTTGCTTTAACTTCTTCAATTATTTTTGCTCAATATAAATATCAACCCCAACAGGCACTAACAGAAGGCTCCAGGGGCCTTTCCCAGCTGTTTTGGGCTTCAACCCCCAAAGCTACCTCTCAGAATTCAGTTTTAGCTTCAGGCACTCTAAATTTAATAGACTCATTTGAGCAAAGGGCTTATTGGAAATCCACATTGGAAAATAGCGAGTGTAAGTGTGCTCATGCCAAGCCATAAACACATTTATACAGTGCAGTAAATCAGTGCTGCTGCCTCTCCTTGGAGAGGCCGGGCCAGTTAACGTACAGGACAGGAGGATGGAACTTATTCAGCTTCCTGCAGGCAGGTAGCAAAGGCTGCAGCCATAGCACCCCGCTGGGCCTCCACATTTCAGCCCACTGGCTTTTGGCTTCTCATCCACTGACTACTGAAAAAGAGCAGACATTTGGAAAGGCACTGCCAGCGTGGCATGAGTGCAGCACGAGGACTGGCAAATGGGAAGAGGCAGGAGAGGTGATGCCTGTGGGCATCTACTAATACAAGGTCTGCAGAAGTACTCGGACTCTGTAACGCACTAACGTGCTGGACTCGCTCGCAGAAATTCCTGTATCAGTACAGGTCATACGATCTGACCAGTGACTTTGTACAAACGAGCATGTTTAGTTACTTGTTATCAGAGCACTGCATTCCCCCCCACCACTTGTGTTATTCAGAATATAAAACAAGGTTACAAAAGAAGGACAAGATGTTATGGAGAGCGGGTTAGCTTTTAGTGGACACACGGACAAACAGACACAAAGACAGAGAGACAGGCACAGACAGATGCACAGACAGATGGACAGACAGATGGACAGACACACAGAGGGACAGACAGACGGACAGATGGAAAGACACATGGACAGTCAGTGGGACAGACAAATGGATGGACACACGGACGGACAGACACACAGACAAGCGGACAGACAGACACATGGAGAGACAGATGCACGGACAGACGCACAGACGGACACACAGATGGACAGACAGATGGACGGACGGATGGATAGACACATGGACGGACACACGGACAGACGGACTCACGGACGGACACACCAACAGACACATAGATGGATGGACACACGGACGGACGGACACATAGATGGACGCACAGATGGACACACGGATGGACAGACGGATGGACAGACGGACAGAGAGACACATGGATGGACGGATGGACACACCCATGGACGGATGGACAGACCCATGGACAGACACATGGACACACGGATGGACACAAGGACGGATGGACACAAGGACAGATGGACAGACAGACAGACGAAAGGACAGTCACATGGACAGACGGATGGATGGACTCACAGACGGACAGATAAATAGATGGACACGTGGGTGGACACACGGACAGACACACACATACGGACGGATGGACACAGACGAATAGACACAAGGACAGACAGACGGACGGACACATGGATAGACAGACAGACAGGACACACGGACGGACATGTCTTTTGAAAACAGCGAGAAGCACCCCAAGCACAAAGCCCGTAACACCAAACTGGAAGCCCAGGAAGGTGCCAGCAGGGCCCTCACTCACCTGCAGCCCCTGGTGGGAGCAGCCCGTGCCCCTGCAGCAGCATCCACACGGCCGTCACTGGGCAGTCCTTTGCACAGGGAGTGCTGTCAGCTGAACAAAGAAAAGGGATACCTTGGCATGGGCCACGGAAACTTCTGTTTCCACAGAGACTAATTGATATCAATATCCTGGGGGGCAAAGGGGAACCACACAGCCTAAGTGGCAGGAAGAGCACTGGCCTCTGACTGCAACTTACCTCCCTGGCCATATGCTGCTGCCTACATTAATCCATTGAGTCATCGTCAAGGAAAGGGGGAATTTTTCCCCCTTCATGGTTTCTTTACAGCATGAATTAGGGACATGACTGTACCCTAGTAAAGTATCTGCATTTTCCAAGTGTGCTTCAGTATTACAGCGTCCATTATACTGAGTTTGCATCATCCTCATATCTACAAGGCATGAGAGATTCCCTTCACTGCAGAGCCTTTACAACAGTCTAAAGGCTCCAGACTGGAGTGGCTCCACATCTGCTTTTTCACACTCACATTCAGCTTTACAGAACACCAACTGCACAGACACATATAATAAATACCTTCACAATCACTAGTTACTGGTGTTTCATTACCCCACCAATTTTTTTCCCCTTTTCTTTCCCTTGATCTCAACCTTTGGCCCAGGGATGAATGCTGTCATTGCATCAGCACCTACTGACATTATAAAAAGTGTCCCTTTTCCCTCAGGGGAGGTGTACATTGGGTCAGTGGGGTTCTGATGCTCTCCCTTACTCACATCAGGCTACATTCAGTGTAACCAACCCAAGTTTAGCATCGTTTTTACTCACTCTCAGTAGGGCAAAATCAGACCAAAATCTGCTCCAGTGAGCACACACTCAGACCAAGATACACAGTTGATTATTACCTGTATATGAAACACATTTTCTCCTGCTCTTTCAAAGAACAGCACTGGTAGATGATACAAAAGCCTCAGTTGGATTTTCAAGTGTAAAACATTTCAAATAAAACTCCCAAGACTTTAAACAGTTGACTTAGTTGTGGCACATGATGTTGCATGATATGGAAATTATATATCAGGATTGTATTTCACCATCAAGTCCAAAGGGGTTAATAAACAAATCTGTTTGCTGATTGTTTTTCTGAGATATAAACCTATAGAAGTATATTAGTTCCTCATCAATTAGCAGTTTATCTCTGTATGTTTCCCAGAGGCCTCCCCAATAGCATCGTGGGGAGGAGTGAAATGGCCACAGGGATTTCAGATCAAATCCTTTGCAGAGAAGATGATAATTTACAATACGTACATTTGTTTACTTCCACCATAACTGCTACATCTGCTTTACTGACACTAATTAATTAAGCCTGGTTTAATTAATTGTGTTCTCTGAGGAAGGTGGTGTTGACATTTTGCAGCTGGTGCTTGAGAGGGGAGCTGTGGAAGGCAGAGTTCTTGACAGCATCCCTGGTTTGAAGTCCCCCAGCTCGCCACACCCCTGCCAGTGCCCGTGGCCTCTGCTGGGCCTGCAGCTGGAAGGAACACGCTGGATCTGAGCCTTCAGCCCTCCTGCAACTGCCAAAAAACCTTCAAGTGGAGAAATAACAGTCCAAAATCTGACTTGAGTCTAAATAAACCCCAAACCCAGAAACAGATTCGTAGATAGCATACCTTGAGTTTCCTCTCACTGAGGCCTCTTCCTCTATTTATTTACTTATTTAGATTTATCTAAACTTCCTTGGGTCAAACTCAGATGTGATGGGACAGATCTTCTGTTCTGGATCAAGTTAACATCAGCCCCACGTCTGCCTTGCACATCATTCCTGTCTGTGGCTGCACGTCTTGTTTTACACAGATGGGCAATCATGCATACAAATGCTCCTATAATTTATCCCAGAGTTGTTGAACTGTTTATACAGGCAACTTTCCATCTATTCCTAACAGTCCACATCCTACAGAGGTGTTTTCTCTTGTTCCCAAAATATTATTCTTCATTAATTAAATTTTGGTAAAACAGCTATACCTTTGAGAGATGGAGATTCCTAATCTCCTAACAGGCTCTTTCAGGTCAGGGAAGAAGAAAGTCGTAATATTTTCCCCAGTGCTATGTTGCCTGCTAATTCCTTGTCAGAATGGCATGTTTACCACCTCTCAGTGGTGCTCTGACTGGAGTTTGGCAACAAATCCTTTGCCAACAGCCATTTTACAAGTAAAACCTGCACATTTCTCCCTGAAAGCTATTTTTAAGAGCACTTTCCTTAAAGCAAACTCTTTATCCAGGTTCATAGCTGGGCTGTGCCGATTTCAGCGCCATTACACCAGGAATGAGTGTGACTCGCTCGATTGTTGTTGGTGGCCTGGTGTCACATGCATTTGCTATATCCCTGGCAACAGCCAGGCTGCCCTGTGGCTGTTTGGGAAGAAAGAAACGGAGTGAATCAGAATAAGCCATAGTCCCTGCAAAAAGGGGGAAGGAGAACAGAAAGGAAGAAAGGAGCAGCCATGGAGTGGGGTCTGGGAAGATTAGGCGTTGGTTTGAAAACAAGGAGGCAATGAACTAAACCCCAAAGGATTACTTGTCTACTTTCTAGCTGCACCAATAGTCATTTCTCTGCTAATTACCTTCCCCTTTGTGCAGGGGGTGCCATGAGCAGGATCTCAGCAGTGGTGCTGCTGTGCCCAGGGGTCCACATGAGGCACAGTGCATGTGCTGGGGGACGTGCCACGGCATCAGCCACCAGGCACATTTCAGGAAGGGCTTTCAATGCCTCAGCTTATTTTGTTTTGCTTGCAAACATCTGAGCTCTCGCATTTGGCAAAATAAAAGCACGGCGTGTCATTCTCTTTAGGGCTCCACAAAAAAATCCTATCAGTGCTTTATAGACAGCAGGATGGTAGTTTTCCCAGCTTCAAATGCTTTCCTGTTCCCGCTACTCGTCCAGATGGAAAGGTTCTCCAAACAAAAGCCTAGTACAGGGAAGGCATGTGTGAGTTTGCTTCCAGACACCTCAGATTGCAAAAGTTTGTCTTACTTTTTTGCTGTTGGCAAAACTGTCATTGAAGGGCATAACTAGAGGTTTATCAGAAATGCAAAAAACCCTCTCTTGCTGTTCTCCTTCACTTCGCCTTTCCTGCAAGCCGGTTATCAGCAAACACTTGTCAACATTTGACTGCTGTAAGGCAGGTGATTACAAGAAATAAGAAATATTTGGTTTTTCTGACTGTTTTCTGTCTCACTCTGTACCCAGGGTGCTGCTCCCACTTGAAATAGTTTTTTGCCGCTGTTATCTGAAGCCCACAGCTTATAACAAAAAGGGCTGATTATGTAAAAACAAAATGACATTGGGCTGTCAAAGCAAAATCCCCTCACCACAAATCCCAGGCTGGGCCTGGAGCTGCAGCTGGCTGGCAGAGCAGGAGGAATGCCTGTGTGGCAGTGGAGTGGAAGCGCGTGCTGCCAAGTGGGGCAGCCCGGCCGGTGCGCAGCTCCTGCTCCGGTGCCCTGCACAGGAGTGGGGCAGCCTCCTCACACCAGTGCCACAACTGCCTTTGGGCATTGCTTACTCTGGATCAGAGGGGGCACAGAGGGCCGGGAATGTGTGGCTTTCACAGTGATAATCTGGAGCCAAGTGTTTCCCTGTGAAAGACTTTTGATGTGTAATGGGAGCCATACTCCTCCACAGTGCTGAATAAATTGTAGCCCAGGAAAAACCAAAGACTTGTGCTAAGGGTTTGAGTTTTATGCATTAGCTCTGTCTCATAGATCATGTTTCTGTATGTGAAAAAAAGAACATGTGATTAAGTGGATCCTTTTTCCTTACGCGAGTGCAGGCACAGTGCTGATACTCACGAGCTGCACTTTACATCACATCACGGGGAGCTGTCTTCACTCCCTTGCCTGATTGTCCAGTTTAAGACCAATACTCCCACTGATATAATTTCAATAGAAACTATTACTCAAAAAAAACTGGTCCCACTTAAGCAGGGACAGGACTCAACTCACCTCAGTTTAGGCATCTAAAAGCTGGGCGTTGAGTCGAAGCTTCTTCTTTCGGCTTTCTCCACAGGGAATTAAAACCCTGGTATTTCTTCACAGGGTAAAAAATTCCCTCCATAGCATCATGTGGAGAGGGCTCCAGAGACACCTGTTTTTCTGCCTTGACAGGGTAGGACAAATAGTTAATTCTTGAGTCCCAGTCAGCTGAAGCTGGGTAAGATGCATTCCCTTTCATTACATACTTAAATTTTGAATCACCACAGTATCTTAATCTGATGTTTTGTTGGGGAATTTTGTGGAGCTCCTCCCCCATCTTATTATAGAAAGGTATAAAAAGGTGTGAAATTTCTCCGTCTTGCAGGATAAGGTTTTAATTTTAATTTTTAACTCAACAGTAACAGAAACTATAATTTCAGAAAGGCTGCTATTGTCAAATTAGGAAGTTAAAAGCCAGTTTTATGTAGAGGATTTTGGTTTTTAGTAGAGCTTATTACTAGAATGAAGACGTGGCTTTGATAAATTCCAAATGCATCCAAACTACAAATCAGAGTTTTTAACTTCCAAAATACCTCCTCCTTCGCATGCAGTCGGCTGACTTTGTTTTACTCCCTTTTTTTCCAGAGTTCTTGGCAACTTCAGCTCTGGCTGTGCTAGTTAAGATGAGTGGTATCTGTAGGGTTACTGCCAGAAGGGAAGGAAAAAAAAAAAATCAGTGCAGACCCCTGCTTCAGGCCATGTCATGAAAGGGAGCTGGAGAGATCTATCCCCTGGAGTAAAGCAAATGACATGAAAAAAAGCTGAGAAATGCAGTTCAAAGCCAAGATCCTTTCTATTCCCATTATGAATTAACCAAAATTCCCCCTAACAAACAAACCCCAAGCTATGCAAACTCATATCAGTAAATAGGTTTTTAAAAAAGCATTTTCTAGTTTAAACAGCATAGGATTATAAAAAGGTTCTGGCACCTCCCTGAGTCAGTGACTCAGGACCTTCATGAATCTTGTCGATTGTGAGGGATTTTGAAAATCAGTGCAGGTTTAGTTGTAGCTTTTGTGCCAGGACCATCCTGCCTCTCCAAGGTAAGCATCTTCTATAGACAGACTCCACTGTGCTCAGTGCAGAGAGGCACTGCAGTGTCACACAGCTGGTACCTGTGCAGCTGCTGCACTGCCATCCAAAATTTTGCTGCTTGCTGGGAGGAAACTCCTCATGGTGTATCCACCCCTTGAGGAGTGCCAGGCACAATTAATAGCCAGCATTTGGCTTGTCTCTGATGAAAGGTCAGAGGCCAGGGACCTAGGCTGAAAGCTAATTTCTGAAGTGATTTGTCTGGATCCTGCTACACCAGTCAGAAGTGCAGAGTGCCCTAAGTGCAATACTGTAATTTAAATGCTTATAGTACAAGAGAGAAACAATTCACTGATCATCTCATTAGAGGCTTAGTTTTTTACTTCTGGACAGCTTTTCCTCTTTGATCTTGTAAGAAAAATGAATGGAAGTTTAGGACATGTTTATTTGCTTTTGTAAAGGCTTGGATCCAAGCAAAACACACTTATATCTGGGAAATAACAATGAGGGGTTGTAAACATATTAAATACCTTTGACCAGCGCTAGATACCAAACCAGAGATTCCCAAGGTTAAAGAATTCAAGAGTGCTGACTCCTGGTTTCCATTTGACTCCCATTACAACCCTCATTTGTATGCCACTAAAGAAAACAATGTCCTTCTCCCTGTGGACACATGAATGAGTTATATTGTCATTGTTTGGTTTTCTTTTTTTTGCCCCTTTTAGTCTTCAAAAGACTGCAAGGGCTGTAGCCTGAAAATCTCATGAGTCGAGAAATCTCTGCTCCCATCTGTTGGTGAGCAAGAGAAGAATGACCATAAAACTAGTGAATCTGATTAGTTGTTTCACCCAGGCCACTGGATAGACAAATAATCCAGAGGTAGGGGCTCTCTGGTACCATCTCTTGGATAATAAAGAATATGGCCCCTCTTTGTATTTGTCTCCTCATTCTTTCAGTGGCACTTTGGGGAGACCTCATAGTTACATTTCAGTGACCACAAAGTCCTACCATTCTTCCAAGTATCCTGTACTGGGATGACTACACTGTTAGTTCTTGCAAAGGATTTAGTGAGTCTTAGTCACGAAATAATTCATTTGAGTTCAGATTGGTTTTTAGGAAGCAGATTCTGAAAGCAACAGACCATCGAGCTGCAGGTGGCTGGCAACAGGCCTGCCCAGGCAGGAGTCAGACCTCTGGAGCTGTAGTGTCCAGACTGTGCTGAACTGCAGGGAAATGTAGCAGCTGAAGAAGGAGAAATGATGCTTATGAGGAACAAGCAGGAAATTCACAGCATCAGCTGGTGACCAAGGCAACAGACTCTTGCCAGAGGTACTGAATGAAGTAATGGTCCTGTTTACTGTGGATTGTTTTCCCAAAGTTCATGGCACATGTGCCTTGCCATTAGCAAAGGCCTCGTTGTTTCAAAGAACTTCACACTTGCAAGGGATGAACTGTTGCCTGAAGATGCTTGGAAGACATTCCAGGTGGGAAGGGACACAGTGCTGTACAGCAGCTTTGAAGAGCAGTCATTTTTCGAACTCAGCCTTGTTGCTACCAGGAGCTGGGTTCTGGATATCCAGGGATTAGATGTGGTGGCAAGATTCCAAATAGGTGGAGGAGAAAGTGGTCAAAAGGAAGTAAGTTACTGAATTCATATGGAAGGGCTTGAATTTCCGATCTCATCAGCTTCTTTGCTTGAATTCTCTCAACATCCAAATCTTAAATGAAACCTCACTGCCATTGTTAGGAGCAACATTCAGTTCTTGTCGCACTCTCATCGGTTGTTGTTACTATTCCATGATTATCAGGAAGAGGAACAAGCATGGTAAGAAATGTAAAAGAGGGCTGGAGGGAAAAGATGCTGCTGAATAAATCCATACTGGGGTAAACACAGTGCTGAGACAGAATATCATTCAGCAGAAGGGTTTATCACTGAGAACTGGCATGTTGCATTTGAACTGGGATTTTCTAAAGAAAACCACCCTCAGACAGCTGAGTGATGAGTTCACAGTATGAAAGACTGCTCGGGAGTTCATCCACTGAAAGGCCATTTACGGGCTTCACTTTCTCACGGTCCCACTCTGGAAGGAGTTACACAGCCCGTGCAGGTCCTCCCATTGTTTCAAGTGAAGGGAACATCAGCTGGTTTTGCCATTGTGAGCAGGGGCTAATTGGTTCTGTTCACTTCAGTGTCTGGTTTACGAGCCCAGGCACCCACGCTGGACAATGGGACAGCGGCCGGAATCCGTGATCTCCGTTAGACACGGAGCATTTCGGCCACTTCTGAGGGACTTGGCGAGAAAACTCCTTGTTTCTTTTTCCACACAATAAAAAAAGCAGAAGATAATTAGGTCATTCAGAATGGATAATGATTATCCGTGGTTTGGGAGGAATTTCCTTTCGACAAAGGCTCCTCTACATCTGTAGTACAAACTGATTTTCCTGGAAGCTTGCTATGAGCCAGGGGAAGTAAGCTTCCCAGGGGAACTTCAGGGTGTGAAGCACTTGCTAATGCCAGACACACACAAGGATACATGCAGGTTTATCCCTAGCAAGCCACGCTGCTAAAGAAAATAGGAACATTTCTGCCACCTGGGGAGATCACAGTATCAAGGTACAGAAACAAATATTCCTAAAAGAATGGATTTCTTTAGTGTTTTAGGGATTTGTTTTGATAATAGGTTCTTCACAGGAAGTCAACCTGAGTAGGTCTGGATATTTAGTCTGACGATTGTTTGCCACAACTGGGTTACATGACTTTGAACTTCATTCATTCCATGCAGGGGAGGGCATAAAGACACTTTTCCAAACAGAGATGGCTTGCCTTGTGGATGACTGACCTGGTCTCCCTAAATTTCAACACACATATATTTCTCCTACTGTCAAGTCATTTTTTAATTTGAATTCCAAATATTATTCCCTTTTTTTTTTTTAAACCAAAATATCTGGACTAACGAAGGCATTTAGAAAACAATGTGCTTTATGTAACTTGCAATAAAGATGGCATTTCAGAAACTAGCATGAATTTTACAGATTCATCTGAAATGGCCAAATTCGAGCACAACTGTTCTTCATGTCTACTTGTTGCCACTAGAGTGGGCCCAGTAATAACTACAAGGAAGAAAATGAAAACCAGAAAAAAAGCTGTATGTGTTATTTGTCCCATATTATGCCTGTGGCTTAATTATAGAGACTCATTGTGTGCTTAACTAAAAAGCAATAAAGGCACTGCAAGAAGTGCCATTAGTGAGTCAGCATCACCCCCTGAAGATCTGCTTAGTTTCTGGAATCTTTCTGGTGGAAATCCCTTTAATTTCTTATGTTCAGTCCCTGTCCAAGTCTCCAGTTTGTTGGCACTGGTACAAATAGTTACCAAAGGGTGAAGACAGGTAACAAGCAAGATCACAATCAACTCCTACCACTTCAGCAGTGTGTGTCCACCATGCAGAGGGTAAACCTGATGAGGGGGTGTTGCCTTCTCTTCACGGGAGATTTGAAAGTTGGGAATGGTCCACCACGGGATGAAGGCACGGGGTGCACAAATGAAAAGCATGAAAGCACATGGTGAAAACATGCAAGATGGGGGGGTTTGCAGAGGAGCTCGAAGTTGTGTTTCAAAAGTGCATTGTGAACACAGGAAGCAGCAAGCTTATCAAAGATCTTTACCTTGCCTGCAGTATCAAATGTTATGTTCACAGGGAGACCAGACAAACAAATTGGCAGGATATGTCAATAGAGTCTAGACTGGAAAAGGTCTCCTGAGAAATCAATATCCAAATCTTTAATCTACCACGTTATATATACTTTTATCTGCAACAGTGCAGCTTTTCACACATCCCTACTTTAAGAAAAATGAAGTTAAATGCTCTTGGGGAAAAAAAAAAAAGGAATTCTTCTTTTTCACTAACTGCCCATATTCCCAAATGCAATTTGAAGCCTCATCCAGGGAAATATTTACATATGTGCTTGTGTGATTCTGACTGCCCCCACACTTCCTGTACTCACTGGAGCTCATCTGATGCTTTAAATTAGGTGTTGAAATGCCCTCCTGAATCAAAGCCACTAATTCAGATTTCTTTGTCTTTAACGTGGAGGACAAAGAGAGAGCTTCCTCCTGGAAGCCTCAAGAGTTTGTAACAAAGATGATGATGTGGGAAACCATGTCCCCCTGTTCTCCCAGGTGCCATCAAGAGCACTGCCAGACCTGCCACATCAGCAGTCCTGTAGACAGTGAGGGGTGACGTGGCTGTCACTCCTTCACCAGTTCAGGCATTCTCAGAGCTCTGGTTTTGCACCCTGTGCTATTCTGTACCTGTGTTTGGGGACATGGACATCTCCACCAGGTAATGAAAATACCATGGAAAACACAGAGGGTGACTATGAATTGGAATGTGTGCACTGTGCATTTTCTTCTCTATATTCTACTTGCAGAGCTGACACTGCATGCACATTAAAAGAAGTGGGAAAAGCACAGCCCCTGAAGAGATCATTAGCATTTCTTTCCTCCCAGTATGGTCCTTCCTTTAATTCCTTTTCCCTTTCCCAGAGAAGCATACCAGATTGCTCTGGACAGGATGCCTTATCTGTGACTTACACTCAGGACACCCAGCAGCAGAGAATATCTGTGTATCAAGTTAATGCTGAAATCACTGTGATTTGATGCCACGATAAAACACAGCCCAGTGCAAGAGCACACAGGCAGTTATTTCCTGCTGCAGACAAACACCCATTGAACACTCCTCACCACATCTGGGGGACCTGTCTTACCCTATTGCTTTTTTTGTTGCTTTTCAGGATATTTCACTGAAGGAATGGGAACAAATCAACTACAAACTTGCACGGAAAAAGCACACAAATTTTAGATGTTAATCTCTCGTTATCAGGGACCAAAAGGGCAAAGGACCCTGCTCCAGTGCCACACTCAATATTCTTCACAGGTGTGAGGAATTTCTCCTACAGCCCTCACTTTCCTTAGTAAACTCTTTTCTGATGGTTGTTAAAACTTTTTAGTTTTTCCTGCCTATAGTGTTTTCATCTGTCCATGCCCTCTCTGCTAAAGAGAAATGATCCCTTACCTGTGTTGCTAAATTAGACAGTCCTTCCTGTGATTCTTGGAAAATTACCTTTGTGGTATTTCCAGGAAAGCACAGTTTTCTTGGGGACATCTTTAACGTGGCCATATGATTCTTTCATTGCAGCACAGAATCCTTATTGAAAAGCAGCACAGTAATGGTATTTAGAACATTATGCAAAGGAAATACATCAAAATACCTGGAATGATAGTTCATCAAAGACTTGAAATTCACAGTATTGCCCAGTCCTCTTTTTGGTGATATTTCTGAGTCTTTTCCATAACTGGTGTGTTGTTGAAAGATAAGTGTGAGATAGTCAATAGGATCCTCCCAGCACTGAGCACCTCTGACAGTTCACTGCATTTTTGGAATCCATGCTTTCAGTTTGTCATTTCCCCAAACAGTCCCAGCTCTTCACCTTCTGTGCTTCAGTTTCCTAATGCATCACTTGGGTGCTACTGTTCTCTTTGGGCAGTGCTGCTCATGTTTAAAGGGCTGTGGAAACAAGAGTCAGGACCAAGCAGGCTCAAAGAGTGCAAAGCTCTGGTTTTCTGGGAGTGAAATACTGGTTTAAATACAGTCAAATCCTGTGTCTGTAACTGTACTGCATTTAAGGATAAGAATTCTTTTAAGAGCTATTTTTTTGCCATTCCTGTGAATCTGAAGCAATAGTTTTGCTGGTTTGTGCTGTGTAATTTCAATATGCAGCAACCTCTCCAAGCTGGATAATTTGGAATCCACACACGCCTTGCAGTTCCAAGATAATTTGATCTGAATAGCAGTTTCATGTAAATGTTTTGGCAGTCATGAAAATATCCTCAACATTACTACTTGCAGCTTGAAACACCAATAATGATTTTATGTGCTGGCAATGAAAGAACATGATAGGCAGGTTAAAATCATTAATTCCTCTCTCTGAAACTGATATTTTCTCACTGAAAGGTTTGAAAACAAGTCTACATTCAACAAGTTGTTTCTCTATTAATGTGATACCAGCAGCATCTGTGCAGCTCCCTCTCTTCTCCTGTGGGCAAGCACTGTTCAGGGGAGCTGGAAGGAACACAGCTCCTGCTTGCTTCACCCCACAGCTGGGGGGAAAACATGGGATATGATGTTTGAAGTGTTGGATAATTGGAGGAAGTGAATGGAGAATGATAACAACAGCAATAGGGAAGTTTCTCAAGTGATTTGAGAAGGTTGTCTGGTGCAGGCTGGATGTTTGATTATCTATGCACTGGATACCCACTTCTCTCTCCTTGAATAATACATGGGAACCAGGAATTGTTTACTTTAAAATATCAAAATGAGAAATGATCATGTTCTGAAAATAAAACCTGGGAGTTTCAACTCTGCCACCTCTAGGAAAGCCCAGTGGGAGGGATAGGATTGCTACAACTAGGGGAGGCCTCCTTTTCCTTATTTGTTATCATTTAACAAAATCTGAAGGCATCTTCCTTTGCAGAGAGCAGGAAATCATTCCTGTGCAGCTCCAGGGCCACACAGAGGTTATGGTGCCCATATCACTCGTGGTGTCAAACAACAGAGGGCTTCACGATTGTACAGGGACTGTACCAGGTCACCCAACACTGCACAAGAGAAAACAAAAGAGCACATGTACAGGGGAGTATTTCTGGCTTAGTAATAGATGAAAACACAGAGCTCTTTAGCTGCCTTCTCCCTCCAGCGCTCTCAAATACAACTGGTTGTGCTCCACATTTGGGAGTGCATGGTCAGCAGACAGAAAACTCCAGCCAAAATATTCCTGTTAACTGGAGATAGGTTTTTGAAAACTGAACATTATGAATCAATGTTGTACTCTCCAGCCTTTGCTCTAAGTCTGGTTGGAATTAGTAACCTAAAGCTTTATGGTGATAAACTCCATTATCCTGTGGAGAAGGACCAGTGTACGTGTTGTGTACATGCTGACAAACACAACCACGCTTCTGCCTGTCACTGGGAAATAAAAAGGACTGTGCACATTATATATCTACAATGTCTGCATCTGGGAGGCAGACTGCAGCTGCCACTTCAGTCCTGGGATGAGGCAGCCTTATATAGAGTGAAATGGGGTGTCGCTGACTTCAGCAGCAGGATCCTCAATGACTTTTGTGTCCTGCCCAAGGTGCCTTGGTATTCCCCATACATGGAAGCAAGTGTTTCACCACACTGAGCATGATTTTTGCTAATCAGAGAAGATGTAATCACTGAAGCAATTTGGAACAATATTTATGAAATGTGAATCTTGGATTTGTTTTGCACAGTCGTCTTATTTTTCTGTCCAAAGTTGCTTGTTATGCAAACTTGGAGGAGTGTTAAATATCCCATGATACTCAAAAACCAGAACTTTCCAAAGCCCCTTTTTATTGGGGTGTTTTTTTCTCTTTGGCTAAACTCATTCTGGGCTAATATTCTTTTCCAAGTTAACCCTTCTTGATCAGTGCTTTTAATGCAGCTGCCAGAGTCGGCCGAGGAAGATGTTACAAAACCTTCTGTCCCACTGCTGCACGAGCAAGGATGTTTCAATGGAAACACGGTCCTTTTGATCTCAGTTATTTGGGAGTTGGTCTTCTGCAGCTTGTATCTCAGCAGAAAACCTAACAATCTGTTTGCTCTCACTGGGATTGTCTCCTTGCCAGCACAATTACATTGGTGAGTTAGGGAATAATGAGTGAGAACAGATGAAATATTTAGATATAAATAGTCTGTTTTCATGTGCTGTGATTGTCACTAATAAGGCAAGGACGTGTGGTTTGTGGTTCAGGGACAGGATGAGGGACCAGGACATCTGGATTCCTTTCCCAGCTTTACCACAGTGTATTGAAGAAGCCATCAAGCCTCTTTGTACCCCATCAGTTGGAAGTGGATAATAACGCTCTGGGGACTAATTCTTTAATGCTGTCATTTTCCCATGTTCTGAAGAGGAGAGCAATACAAGTGTAGGATTTTGACATACTAGAAATCAGTCAAAAAAAATTTAAATCCACATACCTAGAAAGTTCTTGAATTAATTCATCCTATCCTGACTTAAGGAATTTTACCCACTTGCAATTTCAAAGCAATGGCAGAAAAACAAGAGGAAGATTAAAACCAATACAGAATGTTAGAACAAAATCCTGAAAGTGTGTGATCTTAAGTTTTCTGTAACAAGTTTTCCTGAGCTTTACACTTTTTATACTCCTAATAAGGAGTTGCCAATGATGTCCTTGACTAAAATGTGCTCGCATTTGTTCAAAGCCTAGAAACTACTTAGTAACTCACAGGGGTTGGCATGATTTAAAAAGGCCCTACAGCACCATCTACACAAGGGATGTGTTTCCCAGCCTATGTATGTTTTGCTCACTGCAGCTGTAAGTGATAAATCACTAAACCATAGATTAAAAGCATGTAATTGGTATAAAAGTAATTAAAGACAAGATTCATTCTACCTAGGAGTAAATAAGCACATTTGGCATAGGGGAAAAAAGAGAGGTCTGTTTTTTTTTTAACATGCATATGGTAGTCGAGAGTCTCAAAAGCAGAGTTGCTTCTTTGGCTGAGGAGGGAAAAAAGGAACTGTGCAAAGAAGTTGAAAGCCTTGAGTTTAAATTATTTGAGATAAGCATATTATTTTAGGTTTTCTAGTGCCTAATTAAAACTATTTAGTAAAAACAACAGTCTGTAATGCACTAATAATGTCTTACCTCCTGATGGACTCTGGGTGTCACATGGTTCCATCTACATTGGAAAGTAATGGGAAAGCCAAATGGGAGCAGATCTCCAGCTGGTCATGGGGGCCCCACATCCCTATTGCACACCTGGTTGGGTTTTCCAGTCTGGTCTGGCTGGAGCACAGGAATTGTCCTTGTGGAGCACCTTTCTGATGCTGGATTCATCCCAAAGTACGGCTCCTGTGCTCAGACCTGCGGTGCAAAGACAAGCATGGTAATTGGGAGAAATCAGGGAATTTGCTTCAGAAGTGCACTCTGGTCTGAACTAAAATGCCAACCTACCCCCACCCTGTTTGTACTGTCATCCCTGAGTAAGGGCAGCACAAGGGCTTGGTTTGCACTTGGAATCCAGCTGGCCAGGCAAGACTGAGCACAAATTTCCCGTTGCTTTCATGAAGGCTTTGCTCTAAATCACTGCAGTTGGACAAGGCTGAAGGAGCAGCTGGAATACCTATCATGCAGTGTAATTTCAGACTCCTTTGAAAAAGGCTCACGGCTATGTGTAAGAGAAACTGGCTTCAGTTTGGTGATTTTAACTCATTTGGGACCATTTTTGAGAACGCTGCAATACTGGCACAGGAGGTACAATTATAGGCAGAATTAGCTCCTCACCATCACTCTGAGCTAATACTGTGTTTTCTGGGATGCTGAGGGAAAAGCCAATCTCCTGATGTGCAAGAAACACTCCAGGAATCTCCAGTGATTCATTTATTTCCTAACTGACTTGTACATTAAAACACAGAATACAAGTCTATGGTTACCCAAGCCCTTCCCCTTTGCAATCCCCAGTCCTTGCCTTCACCAGGAAAAATGTGGGCACATGGCCTGCCAGGAAACCCTTAGCACACCCTGGGTCCCCAGTAAGGAGATGTAGGGAGCAGCATCCCAGAGCTCACTGCTGAGCTCCCTCACCAACCTCCAGAGTCTTAGAAAACGAGTGTGCTCACAGAGACAGGGAATGGGCACCAGAAGGCTCATATTCTTTTCCATAGAAATTGCACTTAAAATGATTCACATCGTAGCATCTTTCACACTAACAATCCTAAAAAGACATCCCAAACCAACACACAAATGCATAAGTTGTAGCTGTATAACTAGGTATGCAAAGCCATGTAAATAACTCTCTTCATGTGGGGAGGCAAAGCAGTCTGAACTACCAGAAGATTTAGCAACAGCAATTCTTTTCCTATGGCACAAACCCCACCAGCAGTAATTTCATCTCGAGCTGGAAAGCATAGCATTACATTATTTGAGCACAAAGGCCAAATTTCCCTTGTTGCCAGTTAGAGACCCCAAGCTCATACAAACACAGCAGGAGAAACCTAAAATGGTTTTGTTTCCTAGCGGTGCTAATTCCATTGCTGGAGAAAATGTAATTATATTTCTATTGACATTCTAATGATAACTTTGCAGGCCAGACTCCATTCTGCCTGTTAGGCCAGATAGAAGCAAAGCAACAGTGGAGAGCTAAGGAAGAGTCCAAGAGCTCCTTAGTGATGCTGCGACTGGAGCCCAGCTGGTAATTCCAGCAGTAAAAGCTCATTCTGTGAAAAAGACAGATATGATTTAATTGTGTCTTCACTACAAAACCTCTCCATTTTGATCACAGCATCCTCAAACAAACTCCATGTGGACTTGACAATATGCAGACTCAGCTTTTGTCCTGTATTGCTGTAAAACCTGGACTCTCAGCATAAAACCTGATAAATGAGCACAGCAGCCCCTGCACTGTGGAGATGCCCCACTGTTGGGAACAGCAATTCCTGCTGGTTGTTCCAGGCTGCTGGAATCACATACAGCAGATCCAAACTGGAGCCTGCACCATTTGACTTGTGGCTTTGCTTGCCTATTTATCAATCTCAGCTGCCCTCCCCTCCCCTATTAAAAGAGAGGCCCTGGAGGAAAATGGAAGTCCTTGCCTGAAATTCAAGGAGGTGGGAATTGCAGTAATTCATTGCTGATACATTATTTTAGTGCATGGTGGCATTTCTAGGTATTTATCCTGGCTATATCAATTTAATATGTTATCGTACCTGTGCCAGCCTATCCTATTGTTTTCTCAAGGCACTGTGTCAGTGTGAGATATCACTAGTCCTGAAATCAGGATCATATCTTCATTGTATGAGGAAATACAGGAAACAGAGGAGTGCTTGTATATCTGAAACTCAGTTTTCCCTGTTAAACTGACATTTCATCACTCCTTACCACACAGAAGAGTTGGGAAGGTGACATTCAGACATGAGAGCAGCAAGAGGTACATGGGAGCCACTGGCAAACTGTGATGCACTCCTTGAACTCCTTGTGTAGCTGAGAGGTTGTCAATGGTCACATTCCAAGCCTGGAGCACAGATTTGGCTGAGTTTATGTTTTTTTTTCCATTTTTATCAATATTAAAAATATGTCCTGCACACGGTGGTACTTCTGGCATTCACCACGCAAAGGTCTTTGCAGGATTGCATTTTTATAAATGTTTCATAGTAGCCTCCAGATTTCACAAGCTTACATTGGCCTAAACAAGAGGAATTTTATGTGTTTTATGAATGTTACCTGAGGAAATACAGCTCCCAAATGGTGATTTTTTTCTCCCCCCAAAATACAGTTATAATGGGGGCAGATGTATGTAGGCACTGGAACAAAGTTTCTTAAAGGACAGTTAAACCATCTTAGATATTTAGAGCTTTCAGCAGCCTTTGTTTGGTTGTTTTACCTGGGAAGGTTTAGGAGGTCAGTTTTACTGTATAATGCATTGAGCTGGTAATAAATGGAATAGGAATTTGACTGAATTTATAACCAGCTAAAATGCACCAATGGCAGGGAGCAACTCTTAAGTATAAAGTCACTGGCACTGTTAAATTCTAAAATTAGTATATGAAATCTAATAGGAAACTAATATATGAAAACACTGAAGTTTAAAATTATAGGTCACCTCTGTCTAACTTCATTTGGAATTAGTTATCTGCTTCCAGATTTAACTAGATGCATAATTTGCAAAAATACAACACACAAGTTAGAAATGTACCTATCAATTGGAATAGAACAGCAGATAATGTAAACTTCATACATGAGTCACAAAACCAAGACACTTGGAGAAAAAGTATTTTGCAGGCTACCTGACAACATTTTCCCCCAAGTTTTGCCTCCTTACCAGAACTGAGTTAATTCCAACAGTGCAGCAATACTGCAGTGCAAGGGAGAGCACTTCTGCATGGATCCTGCCCTGTCCAGAGTCCTGGAAATGTCACAGCCATAGAGTCCCACTTCCTTCACCGGAGGAAAGCGGAATAAACATCTGTGCATTTGGATGATCATCTCAATTAAACTGAGTATGGCAGAGCCCTCCTTTAGCAGCTTCCCTTGGCTAAAGGAAATGAGGGGGTAATTTGACATGTCCGATTACAGGATGGTCCTTCAGCAGCCAAACAGCAGGTCAAGTGTTAGAGACAAATCAGATGTATCTTAATGCAGACTGGTTTTCTCTGTTGCACCTCAGCACTTCAGAACTGCACTTTATCACAGAAGAATTTATAGTCTGTTTATATGACACAGCACACACAAGGAGGAGAAAGCAGGGACTTTTTCTGAGTCCCATTAGTTCTGAAATAGTCATACTCTAAAGCACAAATTGTGCTTTCCTTCTTGTTCACTTCATATTTTTGTCATGTCATCTGGTGTGCCATCTCACTCATTCAAGGACTGCTACATCACTAAGACATATCACTTAAGATTACATGTGAAAAGAGGAATTATTGAATGAATATACATGTGCTTCAGGCTCTGTCTGAGCTGGGATGGATCATTCCTTCCTTGTTCCTGAGCACTGATTTCTTTACAAAGATTTGCTGGGACAAAACCCTCACCTTTTATCAAGTCCGTATCACCTTCATGCACTTTGTCAGCAGCTTCCCTCCTCTCAGCTACTACATAAATACTGAATATTGCACATGAACTGTTTACTGTGTAAATATATAGGTCTGACAGAGTGGTCTGTTAGAAAAGCAAAGAGGAATAATAGAGAATAGTTTCAGATAAGCCATGTCAGAGCAGGTGCAAGAGTAAGAATGGTCACTCTGCACAAATGACCATGACGAGGATAACACTTGAGACAAGGGGAATTAGGTCTTATACGGGAATAAATGTTGAGCTAGAGAATTAACTTATGTTTGTTTGAAAGAGCTCAGTGAGACATAAAAATGTTCAAGAATGTTTAATCCTAAAGGGAATGAGATTTATCAAAGCAGTATGAAAGGATAATACATTCATTTCTGGTTCTACAGGCAAAGAAAAGGCAAAGGAGTCCAAGGCATTGACAACTCAGAAGCTCTTTTTCATGCTGCCCTCATTGCCTCGAGTTTGATGCTACACTGAAAGGCCAGTCTGGTTCTGGTAAGCAATTACTAACTTGTGATAAGCATTAGGGTTACATTTAAAGATCAGAGCACACATATATAAACCATTTTGAGTACACACGTGTCCTCTGCTTCATGTCCCTGCACGTGGGTTTATATCCCCTCATCACGGTGCTTCCTCTTCCCTTCTTTGTGACTCCAGGAGCAACTGGAATCTGTATTGAAAAGAAAACGTAGTTAATTTAATTCTTAATAATATGTAGTCGACACAATGGTGGGTCAGCACTGTGACTGAATCCTGAAGTCTTTGCTCAAGACCGAACTCCACCTACGACCCATTCGGGCAGCTTTTTACTCTTCAGTAAATCTGGTCCTTTGCTGTTGTTTGCTCTCTGTTCAGTGTAACCTTTGCCACTGCATAAAAATGAAGGCATCATTTTGAAAACCTGTGTTGAAAACTCTATTTTGCAAGCATTTTACAGAGTTCATTTCAGCTCAGGGTCTAAATAAAACACTTGAAGAGTTTGGTTTGAATAAAACTCACTCTACCGTAAGGTGAAGTATTGAAAGTTTGCTTCATTTCATGTCTTAGGAGTGACTGCTAGACATGATTTCCGTACAGGGGTTGTCACGGGTTAGGAGCTGTTCACCTCTACTCACACGTAACAGGTTCTTCTAAAGGTGTGTGACTCTATGAATAAACAAAACTGAAAGCAGGCTTCATTTTGCAAATGGTACTAAATATTAAAATGCACATTATTAGTATTAAATGCGCCTGTAAAAAAGTACCTGAGCCTATTCTAGGTGTAGTAAAAAAGACTGGGGGAAAAAAAAAAGGCACCTTATTGCAAATCATAAGGTGAAAATGTGGAGAATTATTTTTCTTTTCCAAGTACCTGTAGAGTTTTAGGTCTGGTTTCTAATCATTGTCATTTATATAATCCACAAGTTTCTTTTTTGATGGTCTGAAGTGTTAGTTTCACATGCTCTTAACACACTGGTTTGACTTAGAAGCAGTTGAGCTGTTTTGTTACAAATGGTTTTAGTTTCCAAGTAAACCAAGTGGCAAAGCAATTCAAAACATATTGAATTCATTTAAAATATTAATATCCACAACTGGCTCTAAATCAAAAAGAATTACTCTAGACTTAGCGAGTTTTATTTCTGACAGTTTTTACTTTTAAAATATAGTCAAACATATTGGATATATTCACTTACTTTAAAATAGCAAATCAGTAACACAGGGATCGAAATAATCCTTTTTTCCTTGTGTCCAAGACATTCCTTCATACAGAAGAAAATGCTTCGTTTCTTTTCCCTCCAATGCAAAAAATAATCCTGTAAATGCACTTTTCACGTCTCAATGTGTGTGGTAACATTGCTGAACTTTTAGATTCTGCAATTAGATAAATCAGGTTTCCTAGTGAAGATCTAAAGCTGCAGGTACAATTTGTCTTCATTTCACATGGGATGTGGGCAGCTCCTGCCTCGGGCCCAGATTGTGTGCATGGACAGCTCCACCATCCCCATTACACTGCTCACGGGAGCAGGAGATGCCTTGTTACACCATTTTCCCCTGTTTTATTAGAGGTGTCCCTTCCAAAGTGGCATTTGCATTGTGATTATTTGGTCTCAGGCCACCGAGGAGTCAGGAGGGATCATTTCTGGTTGTAGCTGTGCTGGATGCCCTTGCCAGGCCTCACTGTTATCCCAATCCATCATCACTTTATCCTGGCATGTGCTGCAGTTACACATCTCACCTCCAGGATCTGACCCACAGAGGGGTTTCTCCCATAGCCTGTCCCTGTGGATTTTCCAGGAGTGTTAATGATTTAATGTTAATGTGTATCCTCTTCAGAATGGGCTGTGGAGACTGGGGCATGAAAGGTCATTCTTGTATAAACACATTTGTTTTGCCTTCCTTCTCAGAAACTTTAAATCAGAAGCTTCCTTACACAGAATGCCCAAACTGACAGCTTTAGGATGTGTGAGAAAGACACAGTTAATTTAGTGCAAAAGATAAGACATTTCCTTGGGGAAGCACTAATACCAGGCCTATTACCCCCTCAGTGTCATTTCAGATTAGTGTGCTACAGAGAAAGGGATTCTAAATCTTTTTAATTGAAAAATATTTGTCTTTCCCTCACTATTATAGGTTTCTGCCTAGAGGTTAAAGACTTTTTAAATTATTTCTGAATTACATCCAATTTCTGGACAGTTTATCAAAAAAAAGGAGGATGCAGTTTGTCTCTTGCTTTGTTAATTTATGTCAGACCAGAGAAAGGAGAAACATACTCCCTTGGTGACCCAAACGAAACAGTTACATAAAAAGATGATTAGAAATACAAAGCCTGGACATATCTAACTTAAGATTTGCAGCTGTCACAGACACATCCACCACATGTGGGAATACATGCCACAATTATGCATGCAAAATGGGAGGATAATTATCCAAACATGGTGGGTGAAACAATGGTTGAGACCAGAACTTTACTCGGTTTCTTCCTCTCTTTTTTTCTGGCTGAAAGTTTGAAAAACATCAAAACCAATGGTTTTAACCCATGTAGGTTCATAAGCAACGAAATTACCTCAAGAAAACAAGAAAATGCAAATTCATGTTTACCTTTAGCATGTCCTGAGCAGGACCATTCAAAACTGGGATCTGGACTTGCTGAGTCCTTGACCCACGAGGAGAAGATTTGCACGTTGCCTTTGACCAGCCTCCTTCTGTCCCAAAACTGAAGGATGAGATTTGAAGCCAAGTTCTGGCTGGGAGTGGAGTAGGCACTATCTTTGGGTAACTGCACAGCTCACAGAGTATTTGTGTGTTAGGGTGGTCTGGTTTTTTCCCCTTGAAACTCCTTCCCACCAACTGTACTCTTCCCACTTGTGTAATGGTTGTGTTTGCTCTCATCTTTACTGAAAAAAAAATATTTTCCTTTTCTAATTCCATCCTTAGCCATTGTTTTCCCAACCTCTAGTTCTCAAGAAATGTGATTTCTTTAAAAAAAAAAAAAAAACACAAAGAAAAAGGTCTAATTAAACCATTTATCAAACTTTTCCAAGTGAGTAGAGTGACAAATTAGCCCTATCTTCCACCAGCCATCTGATGGATGGGAAGATAAAGATGCAGAGGCTGTTGTTTTAGCTGGAAGCCCTCCACTATATCAATTGTTTGGCCCTGAGCCAAAAGACCCTATGAGATGACAAAGACAAATGATGGGTCCACCAAGTTTATGCAGCGTGAGGCCTGACATCAAAGGAATCTGTCCTTATTAGCAGTATCTCTCTGCCTTCCTCCTGGAAAAAACACTCATTTGTTTTGTAAAAATATTTCACTTAATCCTTTCACTCTTTCAGTAAATGGAAAGAAAATTAGAACTGTAAATAAACTTGCACAGTAATAAATTGCTGACGACTTCTGCTCTTCTTGACCAATACGAAGTGATTGTTACAACATTACTTTTCAGTGATGTCCACCAGGAGAGTCTAAGACAGGTGGGCTGCAAATAAGTTTCCCTGGGAACCTTTACTTTTATCACTATTTGCTTGGGAATTCTTATTCCTAAGGTATTCCCTCCTGGTGGTTTTAGGGTACAGGGATTGGAGTGAGGTGGCTATTGGGCCTGACACTGTTCTTACGTGACAGGATGACCTGCAGTGTCTAACTTACATCTTTCTCCCTTCTCCCAATGTTTTTTTAATATGCACTGTTTTTACATGTAGTGGAAACCCTGTGTACAAGGTGGAATACAATTACTACCTGGTTGGAGAGCGGGAAGAGAGGATATAACAGCCAGGATGACTTCCAAGAAAAGCAAAATCAACAACCAAACAACAAAACCCTGTTCTGACACCTGATTAGAGAGGTCTGACTGAAAACAAGCCATTTCTGCAAATACTATATGTTAGCCTGAGCTAGAAGTAAAATCCATATATTTTTCACTGGAAAACTATTTAAAGGTTACTCTTGATGTCTCATTACTTTTGATGTCTCATTTTTTATTACCTTTTTTTCCTGTGTTGAAATAGGACAGTATTCAAGTTACTGACAGAATTAGAAACTTTCATTTTGTTTTATCAAACCCAACTGCAGCAGTTCTGCATAGCTCAGTATTCACATACCTGATCAGCTGGATTCATCCTTTCAACAGAACATTTTTACAGCACAGAATTAAGAACAATAATGCATTTAACAGCTCTAAGTCCCTAATGTACTTTTCTAGCTGCTTGTTTATAACAGGGCTGCTTAGGAACCAGATTGTCCCTATGCCACCCCCTTGCAACACTTTGGAGGAAACTGCAAATAAACAAACTGCACTGGTTGAAGTTTTCCACTCAGGACTGCATTTTTCCAATAAAAATGAATTGTAAGGATTGTGGCAACATGCAATTAAGCATTCAAACCTAACTGTGTCTAACTCAGGAAGGGAACTCCTTGAACAAAGAAGCTTAAATGCAATTTGGCTGGAAATTAAATGGAAAAAAAATCAGCAGTGCAGTTGCCAATGAACCAAAGTGTTTGCTTACATATAATTCCCAGCATGGTCATTGTCTGGCTGCCCTGGCATTCTGAGATTATTTAGAAGACAGTAATTCATTGCCTCAAGAGACAGGTAAAACAGCTCCTCTCTCAGTCAGTCAGCCTGGCTCAGGGGGGTAGTGGCTACAGCTCAATCCTATTTAGCCTTTCTTCAGTAAAATAAAGGATTTTTCTTTTCTTTAAATATGGCTCCAATTTCTGAATATAGCAAACTCATTCAAAACTACAAGCTCCAGCTTTTTCAAAGGCTCATGGATTTCTCAAACACTTTAACAAATAAAGTTAAAAAATCTTGTTCTGTAATTTACACTTTATGACACAATTCAACAAAAAAGACCTTAAAATAGGGTTCACTCCAAAACAAATAATAATCAGAAACTTATTCCACCCTGCACTTGTCTTTTATTTGCCAGATGACAAATTTGCTTCACTTCCTTTCCACAACTTTGGAAAATACAGCAAGTCTGTGCATGTACAGGTCCTGCCTGGAACCAAAAACTTTAGAAGTGAACCCCGACTTAAAATATAAACTCATCTTCCATTTATGTTTTAAGATAATGCTTAATATAGTTATGGTTGAGGGATAACATACAAAATTTGGGATCTGGTTTTCACTCGTCTTGAGTTTTTAGTTCTTCTAAATCATATTAATATTATGTCCGTTCTCAACTTGCATTGGGAACAGCTTCTGATTTTAAGATGACTTTTACAAGAGTATTATGAGAGATTTTGCTCACTAAATGATACATGAAGAGAGTAATGATTTCAGAGCTGTGTGTCCTATTGTAGCTATTTCCACTATCAGGAAACGATGGGATGACCTACTCGTGTGTTCCAAAAATAGTCAAGGATCTTTAAACCAAATCAATCTCATTGAGCTAAGCAGAAATGGAGAGGTGGAACACGCTCACAGCAGGACCCCGTTAGGTGCCCACCCCGGCACTGGAGCAGCAAATCCCATCACTCAGAGCACACCCATGGTGGGAGTTTCCCAACACAACCTGGGCATCACTGAGAGTCTCAAAAGCTTGTTTTAAAAACTGTCACTCAAGTTCTAGGCCAAAGAACTCCAGTGAGGATTTTGGTGGGCATCACTCCGTGGGCTTGCAGATACAGACCCCAGGAAACCTGGGTACTTCCTACCAAAAAAGTCTGAACTTGGACCATTCCAGCAGCTGCAGAGATTTGATCCTTGCTTTATTTAAAACTCAGTGATTTGAATCTGTGCTTTGCCAGTCACTCCTGCTCCTCTGATAACATGAGTAAACCCTTTTGGCTCTCTCTGTCATCGCAATCATTGCTAGAATTCTGTGATTACATTTATTGTATCTCACTTATTCCATAATATTTGCTGTTCCCCTCAGGACAGTACCAGCTGCTCTGCACTGAACTCTGTTTTGTGCACCAAGCCCTGTGTGCCCCTGAGATACAGTTCACTCTCAGAATGCTCAGCTGAGAGTCTCAAAGCCTTTACAGAGCGTGGTAACTTCACTAGATGGCAGTGCAGAGAAATATTACTTTATATAAATCTACTTTTAATAGGAGATGGAAACACCCCAGCAGGTACTGCAGTTTGTTAGTGCTGCCTCTGTGTTAACACCAGATCACAAGCCAGCAATGTGCTCACCCACACAAGAGTCTGGGGGCTTCTGCCCAGTTAAATCTCCATACCAACGTTTGGGGAAGCATGGACACTCTTTCTCCCAGCAACTCTCCTTCCTGAAATACTAGGAGAAGGAAAGTTTCGAAAGAAAACTTCCCTGAAAAGTCACAGCCACTGTCCCTCCAAGAGTCATAACAGTGATGCCATAAGCATGACGAAGAAAATGAGGGAAGGGTAAGAATGAGAAAGCAATTGGTTCAAATAATTTTGTGAAGAAAACTCTATATTATATAAAATACTTCTCATTCCCAAGAATTCCTTACAAATACGTGTTTGTTGGGACAATTTGATGTCCCTTATAGACAACTCAAGAAACAAAGCATAATTTTTCAGACTCCTGACAAAACTCCAAGATGAAATCCTTTAAGCAGCAAGTTCTGTAGCTTCTAAGGTTCAAAACCTTCAAAAATTCAGTGTTTTGAATACAGAGAACTGATGCCTGCCTGTCTTTGGAAATTAATACAAAACTAACAAAAAAAACAGAGTGGATGATTTCAGCCAAGAGCATTAATTCAATTCAAACATTATCCTCTAAAACCAGTGGAACTGTCTGGCTTTATTTAGAATGTTCACAAAACACAAATTATCATTTAGCACAATAAGGAGATGAAAAAAGTTTAGTTTCTTCTAGCATCAGATGGAAAAAAAAATTTTCTCAGGTTTGTTTCTTGCTCTGGGAGAAATATAAAGAAATCATTTCACTGCCTAATCACACTTCCCTATGCTGTTCTTGCCTTTATCTTAACAGTGTCCAAGACTTTCCCCTCAGGGAGTGATACATTGTCCTCTGGCATCTCAGCTGCTCCCTCACCAAACTGTTTGCAATAGCAAGCAGAGATTCAGGATATTGCAAGTGCTGATAAAAAACAAACCCAGTTCTGTTGCAAGTGACTTCTTGACTTCTGCCTGCTAAGCACAATTCAAAGGTTTCAACTTTTAAAGGCAAAATTCCCTATATTTATTTTTGTGCAAATATGAGCAGATGAGAAACAATTCCTTATGGCATTCATTGTGTGGGATTTTCCTTACTTTTCCTGTCCAGTGTCCACTGAGAAACAGGAATATCTGGAGGTGCAAAGCCCCAGGGTTTCGTTAGTGACACAGTGGGTTGGATTCTCTGCATCTCACGCATGACTCTGGTCAAACAAACACACACAGTTCACAGGGCTGGCAGAGAAAGTACAACTTGTTGCCTAAACCAGCCTGACACAAAATAAACGACTGCTCCTCAAAGCATCAAGACATAGGTAAAAATAAGGAGTAGACTACGTAGATTTCTAGGAGAAAATACACTTCAAGACAGCTTGGTGGACTCCCCCAGGTTTTGATACTGTGACTAAATAGCTGAAATGTGATATAATTGTGGAACTAAATACATTCAGCAGAAATGCAAACCTGACAGAACAGTGATGCAACTTGTGCTCGCTCCAACCCCAGTTACAGGGAACTAATTTTCTTTTCACATTAACGTGAGAGAGCTTCATGCTGGATGCTCTGGATGACATTCATATGCAATAGGACAGTCAGGTACCCTGGTAAGAAGCCAGAATTCCTCTCTAACAGCCAAGATACTGCCAAAACAGACCTTCTAGTTTATTTATTGCCCTCATCCAGTTCCTCTTTTTAAACTGTTCATTTACCCTCACCGGAGAAAGATCTCAACTGCAAAATAAAGAGAACTGTTACACCTTGCCCTTCCTCCTTTCTCCCAGGCACACTCATAAATCACAGCACTGTGGATTTCCCTGGGAGCTGTGCCATCCTGTTAGTTTTAATTAAGTAGCCTTAAAGTAAGTGGCCAATCAATATTGATTCATGGGGGTCTCACTGCAATAACTCATCACAGTGTCTCGGGGCGTTACTGATGTGAATATGATACCTTGGCTTGCTCTGCCCACACTCGTGTCAAATGAAGATCAAGAGTGAGTTTTAGGAGCTGTTTTCTCCTCTGTAATGTACATCTGACTGAATGCAGAGTAGAATCTCTCTTCAAAACTGCACAAATATTTCCCAGTCTACTTAGTTTGCATTTAATTCCTCTGCACAGCACTTGAATTTTGTACTACCACCCAAAATGTCATGACCTGCATTGCCTGAGGTTTACAAGGAGGACTTGCATGATGGAGGCTGGTTAGTCACCATCTGACCATAACCTGCACAATGCTCTGCTTGCAGGGAGGACTGAAAATTGCAGTATAATAATTATTAAAATACATCATTGTAATGAGATGCTCTCTTCAAGATATACCTGTGTACAATCAATTCAATGCATTATTAGGTTGACTGGCACTTGCATATCAATATCTAAATTAAATTCATCTAACTCTGACAAACATGCTGTGACTTCCTAGGACTTCAAGCATGTTTCTCTCCTCTCTAAAGGAAGGTAAGGGTTTAATTAAGTTGTGTCTGTAGGTAATTTTTGCCACCACCTAGTTAGCTGATTAGGGCCATGAAGACTATAATCTATTTTAAAGCCTCTCAGTTATCAGCTGATAGGTGTACAAGCTATTTTTATCCCCCATCAGGCCACCCAAAAGATTGTTGAAGTTTGAAGCTCTAATTTAAAACTACTGCATATTTTTATAGGAAATTATACTATGCCTTGATCAGGTTCAGAAGCTTAAATAACAGTGAAATGGAGTTGAAGACAGAGTGCCAATTTACAAACTAAACTCAAGTTTTACACATCAGTAAATCCCTGACCAAAGTGGATTATAATATAAAACCCTGACAGACACGTACTTACAACATAAGCAGTGAAAGAAGGCAGTATTTTTATTATCAATCCCAAAGCACTTCTCTCTCAGAAACATATTTCATCTCGCAGCCTCTCATTCCTGCTCAGATTGGTATTACCTTTTCTAGCTAGTGTTTTAAAATCAAATATTTGAGTCAGGGATATACAGAGCTTATTTAACTTCTCTGCTACCTTTTTCTTTCACCAGCAGTGAAAATTTGCAGTGCTGTGCTGTTTGCTGTGGGCCCTAGATGGGAGTTTTCAGCTTGCACAGTCACACTCTGTATGTTTACTATGCAAAACAGTTATAACAGTATGTGGGAATGAAAAGCCATAATTTTTGTGGAATTGAATGAATTGTACAAATTTTACTTCTGAATTGCTCTGGAAACTTGAAATTGTTACATAATTAAGAAAGCCATTGAGATGTCTTTCCAGCCTTTCATTTTCTGCCTTTGATGCATTTGCCACTGGGGTTTTCACGGAATATTCATCTTTCCATATGGTTTCATTTACATTTCTAACACAAGAGACCCAGTTTGCCATCGTGTGTAGCTCAGGTCTCAATTGTGGGTCACATCTGAGGAGGGGACATGCAGCAAATGAACAATTCCAGCACCTCTGTGGTCAGCCCCGCTCAATAATTGCTGCAGTAGCTGCATTTTGCTGTACAGATGTTGGTAATTTGCTATTGAAAACCACCGGTATCAAACTGTCAGAGTCAAGAAATGGCTTTAATTATTTCCTCCCTGGAGCAGCAACAGCCATTACTTGAGCACTGCCAAAGTTGGAATGTGTTTGTGAGGGTGATTTCTCAGTACATTCAGTGCAGGAAGCCTACCTGCACTTGCCAGCTCTTTGCTCCCTTGTCCTGGAAAAACTGGGCTGGATCATCCGGAGACCACCTCCGCCAACTTTCAGGATTTTCCCCAACCACTGAAGACTAACTTTTGGTTTTTCTGCTTCACTGAGTCCTGAAAACAGAAAATAAATCAGACAGAAAGCCCTTGGAAATAGCAATACAGGAAAAATATTCTCTGGAAGAGAATAATTAAATAAAAATCTCAGAAGCTACAGAAAATTTGGTGGAAAACTGTACTGATAAAGAAGGTGAAGTCACAGGGCCACTGCAGCACTGCCCAGGTTATTATCCCTACTTGCAGCAGTGGGCATAAATAAAACCAAAGTTGAAACCACACAGCTTAAAAAAACATATATAAAAATTCAAGAGCAGGTCAAAACATTTTTAACATTTTATAGCAATTTCAACATTATTCTCTGTCCTTCATCAAATAGATCCAAAACCCAGAAAAATTAAGAACTGATGTTAATGTGAACGTTTCCACAGGAGCCTGCAAGGGGTTTTGGCTCGTGCTTCAAAAGAAAACAAAACCCCTCCAAAATAACTCTTGTGCAGTACCTCTGATTCCTCATTCCCGTGCTGTATCCATTTGGGAAGACAATCTAAGCTCTGCACCTCCACAGGTTATCTTGTCTCTGAAGTGGGATAAGGTTTTTCTCCCTAAATAATTTGAGGGCTTTTTGTGCCTCTGACAGAGGATATTAAGAAGCGCTGATGTGAAGTTTTCCTGAAGTCCAGGGAAGTTTATCTCCCAGAAGCAGAGAATGATGAAGGTGTTCATGCAATAACCATGGGATTGGCCAGCAATGAACTACTCCTCCTTTGAGGTGCACACTTGGGATATCTCTGCACAGGGAGATGGAGCATGTTTTCCCACGTGTTCCCACCTTCCCTTCTGCTGACTGCACATCCCAGACCAGTCCAACATCACAAGTGTGGCACTGAAGGGCTCTGGGTTGCTCTGGAAGGATGGAAGGCTGGGAGAAGCAAAACAGGGCTTATAAAAAGAGGAGGAACACTATAAGGAAAACCAGTGTAATGAAATATGTTGGAGTCTCTTTGGAAATACTTGCCAACCTAAAAAGCCTTTAAGTCTGTAAGAACTCACCTCCAAGTTGTTCAGCACGATTGCTAATAATTTACGTAATGTTTTTTAAGTATATATAATAATTTATCTAATGTTTTTCAGTACCATCAAGGAAGAGGTCAAAGAACATTTAAACTACAGTCAAATTTACTTGATTTTTTTATTCCCTTTCTTTTTAGGTCACCAATAACATTTAAAAATCTAGCGAAAAAAACCCCAAAACAAAACAGTTCCCACTTTAAAACAAGCAGCTCAGAAAAGAGAGAGGGAAAACAGGTTTTCTTTGCACCCCAGGGAAGTCAAGACCTACAGGTTCTGTTGAGTTTGTCATTAAGAAATTATTCCAACCAAACCTGTGCAGTGAATATTTCTGTGTTATCACAGCAGCGATAACAAACACCACGTGTCAGAAGCAAAGGCTGATGGCCATTGATGAAGGAGATTCCAATACTGGTTAGGAGAGGCTGGTGATCAATAGCTGTTATCCCTCCGTGACAGCCAGGAGCATAAGTAACAAGGAGCTGTGGAATGCCGTGTGGTGCCTCTGCAGGGGCAGGAATTGCTCCGGTTCCAGAGGCACGGCCTGTGTGTGGCACGTCTTTAACCACGACGCTGATCTCCGCACACAGAGTTTGGTGTCAGCCACAACTCACCCACAGCTGAAACCACTTTGGAGTTTTGTCGGGAACGACAAGATTTGATGAATGGAGATGAACGATTAAAATATTTCAGCCTTTCTAAGTCCTCACACAACGTGACGGCAAATAAGCGTTCAAAGAGATTTATTTTTGTTCTGAGCAGCTGGAGATGCAGAGCCTGCCGTTCCTGAGGGAGTCCCAGAGACCTACTTGATGATGGGAGTGTTTCACAGCTGGAAGAGACTCGGATTGTTAAACAATGCCTTGAGCTGTAACATATTTTAGTGACCAGACTCCTAAAACCCCGAGGTCTCTAATTGCCTGCAGGCACCTTTGTTATCACTGGAAACCCTGAGCTCCCATCTTGTAACACGGGGCAGTGTCTCAAACACGGAATTCAATTACAAGGAAATGATTCCAGAAAACAAAGACCAAGCCAAACCACCCCTTTGCACCCCATTTTTGTGCTGTCAGAGGGGCAGAAGGATGAACATCTTCCTTGCACAGGAAAACTGATGTGAGAATTAATTTGTTTTCCTACCTACGGACAATATTTATTTACAAGGCAGTTACTCAATTACAAACATTTCCATTTTGAATTTGAATAGAAATTAAACCTGGGCAATGCCAGGGGAACATTTGTGAAGTCGTGATGACAAAAGTAGAGCTTTTCTCAAGTGTTTTATGAGCCACATGCACATTTAAAAATCACTTTGAATCTCTCATCAAAGATTTAATTACGGGCTCTGCGGTGATCTGGATTACCAGGCCCTGATTATTTCTGCAAAACGTGCCACATTAACTTACACATGATGGAGTTGCAGACTTAAATGGCTTTAAAGTATTATAATTAAAATTAAATAACCATAAACAAAACTAATGAATAACATTTTCTGGTTCGTATCCTCAGTTTTTAGGGAATTTATTCACTAGCTGATTAGAATGCCAAAAGTAGTCGTTTTCCATCATGCAATCGGAATCAAACTACACAAAGTTCCAGTACTGCTCTGAAATTAAAAAAATCCTTATGACTGCCTCAGTTTTATAGAAGAAAAATACATTAACAACGTTTTTTAGAAGGCAAAAAACCCCCAAACTTCACTAAATGTGGCATCTTTCTAAAATTTCGCTAAAAATATTTCCTAAATTTCTTGTTTAGTTCGGTTTTAATTCTGTGGCAAGCTATTTTTGGGGATATTGTTCACATTAAATGCATTTGCCTGAAAAAGTATTATTCCGAAAATCTAATTTTATTCCTATTTCAAGCAGTCGGTGACACCAGTAAAATTAGTCTACATAAGAAATAGGTACAACTCCCTTGGAAAATTACTCTTTTTTAAGAGCCTTGTACCCAACTACCATGTGATAAAACCTGTTGTGACACTTTGGGCCAAGTTGAAGCAGCATTTTATATGACAATAATGTGTTATTCTTACCCTGTTTTGACATGTTTTAGGGCTATGCATGTTTTTGGTTAGTAATTTTCAGTGAGCATCCTGCTGTCTTGCCTCAGCACCTTGTCACAAAACAATCCCAAGTTCTACTTCGACATTTTCTTCCCCAGAAATACAGATTATGTGGGATGTCTGACTTACTGTACAAAGACTAATTGGCTTATATAGTGCCCAGGCATCCATCACATTTTAAAGGCAGAAAAATTTAATAGTTTTGAAATACAAAAAATGCTAATAATGACAATTTTGAAGCCATTAGTTCTCAAACTCCTGGTAGTGTGCATGTTCATAGGTGAAGAGAAACTGAGGGAATATGAAGAAACTTCAGCTCCAAAGGTGGGTGAGACCAGTGTGCAAGAACTACCCAAGCAAAATAATCAAGAATCAAAAACCTCCCTGAGAGATTGACACAAAACTCTGCTCAAAACTGACCCCCCATCCTTTGCAAGCCCTCAACTTCCGTAAGAATGAAAACCAAAAAAAAGTCTCACCCTTTTGGAGGTGGAAAAATGGGAGAGCTTCTCTTCCCTGCGGGTGTCTCACTCCTGCAAGTTCCAGCAACTGCTGGTGTTGAGGTGGCTCTTCCCCTCAAGAGGTTAAGTGGAAATAGGTGTAGATGATGATGAATTTAATTACCACCTGAAGCTCAGGCAGGATCAGGCCTATAGGGAAGCAGATTTCAGTGTGTCCTCAGCTGTGGAATGAGAGACAGGTGCAAGCTAAAAAAAAAAGCAGGCCAGTTCTAATCACTCCTCTTCAATGCAGCTGCTTTAACAAGAGCACAGAGGGGTTTTTTTGGACCATGCTTAGAAAATGGGAATTTCCATCTTTTTGTTCTTAAAGCACTGTGCAGAAAGGTCACTAATGCTGGCAGTGGCTAATCTGTGACATCTGAGCAGCCCCTTAATGGGGCGAATTGCCTGTATAAATAGCCCCAGCGGCACTCACAGCCCAGGATCCGCTCAGAAATGCTTTCATTCATTTCCTGTTACCGGGTTGGTCTTCCAGTGCCTCTGGATAACTTCCTGGCAGCTCAGTCAAACCCCATGTGCAGACTGGCATTTCCACAGTTGTGCCTTTGATTCGCAAGCCAGCGCTTGATGCCTTCTATTGATCACATTCACCCACCTTCCTCAGCAGGAGCTGCCTGGAGACCCTTCCTGGTGCAATCTGGTCCGACCCCAGGAGACCAGCAGTGGCATTAGTGCCTCCTGTCCACCATCTGCTCACTGTTCCCTTTGTATTTACCAGCCCATGGAGTCCTCACTGTGCGAGGACTCCGTGCCCTTCCTCCTCTGGATGATACAAATATGTTGCTCCCTTACTTCCCAGGGTACATTTATGGCTCTTCACTTTTAAAGGATTTGCTGTTCAGTAGCATTTGAATGACCAACAAATACTGATGCCAAAAAACCTTGAAACTGGAGCATTGTTTGGTAATTTGGCTTTAAATACAGTTGTCACACACGTGGGATTTATAGTCAAAAGATTCATTTAGTAAAGGCAGTTGCAGAAAGAGGTGTTTGAGCAGCAGAACCCAAAATTCACGTGGCAAACCTCAGAGTAGGGTCTTCTTTCCCACAAGGCTGTAATATCAGGATTATGAGCTCAGTTTTCCTGACACCTACAAGAGTTCTGATGAAGTGTAACTAAACTCATTGACCCCCTTGATGGAGAACATGTACTGCCCTCAGGAGAGAGAGCCCAGTGCCGGCAAGCGATGCAGCTTTTGTATCCCTGTGTATAGCTGAGACTGTACTTCAATCCAGGGAAAATCCTAGCAGCTTGAAGGCAGAGGGAAGGAGAAGCTCTTAGGGCTTCTCTCCTGAGTCCCAGTGCCCACCCCCAGGTAGGTCAGTGGAGGTGGAGCAGAGGCAGGACCCCGAGTGGGTGGTCTAGGCACTGTCCTTGCTCCCCCTCCGCTTCCCAGCTG